TGTGCTAAAAAGTATAACATACAAGTATTATCAGCCCTATCTGTTATCAGTTGGTTTGTAGAAGAATATAAGCACTATTTTAATATTTCTTTTTGTGTTGTTATCACTAGGTTCCTGATGACATATCCACAGTGATGAAATCTGGTTCAACTAATTGACAATTTATTGTCCATTTTCTTGGACTTCAGCATGATTTTGAGTATCTGTTTCTCTTCTGCAGATTTAGGAATCTTTTTTTGATGCCCACTGTCTCACCTAAACTAAAGGCATGAGCCCTGGTGCTAAATAAAATCTGATGACTGACTGGGAGAAGTACACTTCAATTGAATTGGTAAAGCACATATTAGCTGAGTCAAAGATTACTAATGAATTTTTTAGCACACATATTACACAGTAGCTTAAATAGTTCAATGTAGTGATTTATGTATGTGTGTATGAAATTTATTTTGTTATAAGTCAAATTCCTCAAGCCCTAGATGTAACTAAAAAACAATTAAAAAAAAAAATTAAGCCCTGCCTGTGTGTGAGGAATGCTGCAACATTTTATATTAGAAGTCTGGTTGTCTACCTCTCACAGTCCTTGAGGAGACATCAAGATCTTATTTTTGTCGCCTTGAAAAAACCCTGAAAATCTCAACTATTTCTTGAAATAGTTTGAATATTTCCAAGCATAGGGAGTGTGGGGAGGATGGTTCTGAACGCTGGACATTTCTTCAATATTTGACATAATACAAAGAAAATTATAAAATTTAAAGAATCTTAGCACAGACTTCATAGCCCATCTGCATTCATGTGTGTGTGCATGTGTGTACACACACATTTCCTCATAGACTGAAGTTGATTTTTAGTGTGGATTTACCATTCTATTTAATAAGGGTTTTAGGAATGATTTATTCAACGCTATTTATACAAAATGTTAGAAACATCAACATTTCATCATGCATCAGAAATTCATATAAATTTAAGTGAGATTTTATGTCAGTGTTTGATATAAGGGCATCTATCTCTCTGCAATTATATTGTGATGTCTGATTCCTTTATAAGAACTGAGAAGAACAAAGATTAAGAGGTTTGGGGAATGTATCCAAAGAACAGGGCTAGTTTTTGTCAAAAATTACTTTTCAGATAGTCCTTCAAGAATAAAGATGAGTATGACTTCTTAGCAAAGCAGACTATGAACACCTTCGTGGTTTTGTTTCTGTTTCTCAAATCAGCAGCTTCAGAATTTCTGTACTCAAACTCATTAAACCCTTCTCTTACTGCCAAAAGGCCCCAGGAGAAGATTCTAAATAGAGGAAGTTTAAAGGGTACATCCTTTGTGTTCTCTATTCTTTTAAGCATGTTGTTGTGTGCACTTAAAATAAATCACTGAAACTACTTCCATACATTTACACATTTATCTTTTCAGTCAGGACTAGTTTCCAAAAGTTTTTTTTACTTTTCTTCCTTCTTGATAATGTACAATCTCATTTCATGTTTAGAAACACTAAGAAATTACCATACTTTTGGCTGCAGAATTAGGTGCCTAATTTGCAAAAAATTATGTCACATTTCTGCATATTTACTTCAGAGAATGTGCATTGCACTCAGAGTCTAGGGCACAAGGTTTTTCAGAATTAGGTTTTCTGACTTTGGAAACATTTTTTCTGTTGCAAAGAACATTCTTTTCCTGTAGCATCACGTGGATTATGTGGCTATATCTCTGCCTTGAGTATAAAGGTAAATGCTTCGAAAGGTGACTAATTTTATTTCAAAATGATAGTTTCTTATCAATCCCCTGCTAAGTTGCAATAGTTGCATGTTCTGAATTTATGCAGATGCTTCCTTAAAGTAATTTTGTCTTTTACATGCCTTTTTCCTTGTACATCACTGCCATAAATAACGATATTGTAAATTTATTTTGACTGTGACTAAATTACTTGTTTCATAACATATTCTTCATTTGCACAACACTGGATGTATTGAAAAATATTTTCCCAAAACTGAAATAAATCATATTTATATGCTAAATGTTGAGTACATAAATAATTATAAGCCCTTTATAGCTAGAGCCCACACAAAGATTTAAAAATGTACCAGCAAACATGCTGCTATTTATTTTCTAATGTACTTAAGAAAAAATATATTTGCCACGGAAAATGTGTCAATGCATAGCAAACTTGTCACATTAGTGCTCCAAAGTATCTATAAATAACCACACTCACCAATATATTATGTGCACTTCTACATATATTTACTGTTGAAAAAAAATCAGTATATTGTTGTCAGTTTTAAACTTTTTAATACAAATTCTTTTAAAAAATATTTTCCTCACTTTATTTTAAAAAGTCTTTATTAACAGTGAGGTGAAAATCACACAATGGAATAGAGAACCAGAAAGGGACAGCACAATGTTCCATGACATTTTAGCGCACTTCGGTGCCACCATTTTTTTTTATCCCCATAGAACTGCAGCAAGTAATGAAAAATGCTGCTTCATTGATTTCAAACATGTATATTTTAGATTAAGGTGACAAACATATGATCACTGTTCCTACAGATGAAAATGGGCATTTGCATCTTCCGGTAGACATAACTGATTTATTCTACAAATCTACAGATGTTCATTCAACAAAATCCATATATCTTTTCCTTCTTAGAATCCCTCATAAAATAAAATGCCTTAAAAGAAGTCTTTGAATGAAATAATCTGCCACTCATACAGGCATTTTTATCCTCCTCCGCCTTTTTATCTAGTCTGTGAAATAGGGATTTTACTAAGCTTTCCCATTCCTGTCCCTTTTAAAAATTCTGAGGAATAGGGAAAGAAAGTATTCATTTGGAACAAAACAAAGTAAGGAAAGAGAACTTTCTCTCCATGAAGACACACAATAAAACTTTACAAGGCAATAAAACTAAGAGCAAGTGATTGAAAAGTTAGGTTTACATTCTTCCAACTTGTCCTGTTGTGGGTAAAATTTAGGCTATATTAGGTTTATATGAGCAACTCTCATATGAGAGTTAAGATAAAAGACAACCTGTCTTTTATCATTTAATCAAAATATCTGCTTTGGTGCACTATAATCATAATCTTGTAGGTTTTGTCCCACATTGTTACTACATCCCACAACAATAAAAAATGGAGTTGACTGGGACACACCCCTGCAGGTGACTCTGTTGAATTTAAGTGGCACTAAGAGTTGGATACCTACCTGTCTAAAGTAGAAAATGAAAACCTCCTGAAATGCAGAGGCTTTGGTTGCAGAGAAGCCCATGGTAGGGCTCCTCTTGACTTTAATGCAATTTAGGTCACGGCCTCAAAAAGGAGTCACAAATTTCACTTCAAAGTAAGTAGATGAGAAGGTTCAAAGTAGGTAACGTAATAATTCAAAGTCTTCTTGTCATGGCTTATGTGAGGCTTTCACCTCCACCACTCCCCATGCACAAACAGGATATTTTCATCACTTATTGAGAATAGTCCAGTACTCTGGCCTTCCTAAAGGTGACCTTTTATCATGAAGCAAACTGTATCAAATCCACAACATTGATACAGTTCTTGACTCTGGGTCCTCAGCCTGATTAATCTATCAAAGATGCAAACAGAATTGCAAAAATGAAAACAATAAAGCACTACATGCTAATCTGAACAATTTATGATTGCAGACCATCCAGGTACCCCAAAAAAGGAAATATTTTTTTCCTAAAAATTAAGTAAATCTGCATAGAAGGAAGTAGAAAGGAATGGTAGAATTCTGTAAAAAGAAAGTAAAGACTGATGGAAGAAAGTAAGTTTTAAATGAAAACATCTGCTGGACATTTATATTTACAATTACCATTGATGTAAAGGAATTTACATATTAAGGGTTTTGGCACACCATGTCAGTTCTCCATATCTTTATAATGTTGCTGGGCACCTATAATTGTGCATTTTCTAAACTGCACATTCTGGGGTCTAGCTTTGATTCTCTGAATAGAAAAACAATGACTGTTCTCATTGCTTTCAATGGGAGTAGATATAAATAAATTCTGGAAGATATTTAAATTTCAGTCTCAAGTCTACAGAAATCCTGTTTGTTTTCTCAGATCCAAGCTCTAGACACTCAGTCATCTGACTGGGGAAAACCAAAAAATGCTTTGTGTGGGTCAGTTACCTAAATATTGTAATCTAATGCCATTTATAATGCCTTCTACCAAAAGACACATACCTTCTGTAGAATCTGTGACATTCACATCAGGGCACATGGGTATTTCTGATACCCTATGGTGCCTAAAGTGACCTTACAATCTTCTTTTAAGACAACTTAAACCTAGCCTTCATAGCTAGTAATTTATTTGTACAATATAAATAGCTTTCATTTACTCTGTCAGCATAGTAAGCAACTCTTTAATTTTGAGTGGTGTAATCAGACCTTTTCTCACAGAGGTATAGTAGGTACTATTAAGAGTGCAGAATGAAAGTGTTCATGTGGCAGACACTGTATAATTTCTATAACACAGAAAAACACTTGAGGTCTGGGGCAAATCATAAATACAACAGTTTCAGAGAATACATCCCAGATAGTGCATTTAGACATTACTTCTTGACAGAAGTATCATCACTAATTTCTAGGGACAGTAACCTTGACCATCTTTTGGTGTTTTCAGTCTTGATAAATTAACTATTGTTAGTCTTTTACTTGATCTTTCCAAGCAAAGGTCTTGCCTTTTCCCCGCCATTTTATTCAAAATGCCCAGATTGTGCATGAGTCTCTTGGTGCCATCACCTGACCGTAAGTGAAAATCTACTGCAAAAGAGATTTTAAAATATTTTAACCCACTGTACACTTTTCAGTTCTGCTAAGCCAGACAAAAGGAAGGGATAATGAACATATCAGTCACATCCCAGGGGAAAGAAATATGGTTTGTTCTGGACATCAAATGCCATGGCTCACAAGCAGATGCTGACACCAGCCAACAGCAGCTCAAAAGGCATTTTCAGTTTGAGGAAGTAAGACGGATCACCATAATGCAGCACAGCAGAATTTCTTTAGTAACACAAAGTATTAGAATCTACCTTTCACCTTGAACAAAAAATTATCAATCAAATTTTAAATAAAAGGATAGGAATAAATTCATAACAATTTTCCCATTCAAAAATCATATTCAGTGTGTACATTAAACTTCATTTGTAGAAGGTCACATTAGAACAGTCGGAAACTACCAACAATGAAATTGGTTACAATATCTAATTCACTGTTACATAAAATGCATTTACGGTATAATAGCTAAGGAATGCATGTAATTTAAAGAGGCCCGCTACAGCGATCACTGAGACTGAACATATCAAGTATATTAAGTCTCAAATCCATTGCATTTAGATTAGTGTGCAAGAACTTTTTCTGCCCAGTGAGAGCCCCCGCCTTAGCAAGAAAGTCAGACTGTCACATTATTATACTAGATCAAATCATTAATGTCAATCAGAAGAAGTATTCCTTTTGATTTTCATTGGCTGTGTTCTGCATGCTGAGCTCACTTTTCAATGCAGATTCAGCACTGTCTTCGTTTTCAGAGCCTTTTGCCTCATTTTTTGAGTATATGCCTTTTTTTTTATAAATGCGTATGGCTATGGCCGTGATGCAAAGTAGGATGAATATGACAACTGCTATCACACCTACAAGAAGAAAAGAGAAAAAAAAGTAATGAGAAAGGACAGACAAATAATAGCACACAAGCCAGAGAGTAGGACAAAGAAGGAATGACTACATCACATAATGGAAGGGCTTACAGGAGAGCCTGAGAAATGAAAAGACATAGCTGCTTTCAAATCAGAAGCAGCACTCTAGTATAAGTTTCATGGTGATTGTTTTGAAATTTTCCACCATAAAATTAATAATAATAATGATATAAAATATACAGATCATAATAGTTTCTGAAATTATTGAATGGAAAACCACTAGGAGCCTAAGTTTTAATAAGAGGGTTTCTTTTCCTCCTTCACTATCTAGGCCCTAGATCTCTGCTGGTTTGGGAACTCAAACCACTGCAGATAAGGAACAGTAAGGTGAGATACTTCTCACAGAGATAAGCAAGACCTTATAGACTGCTCATCTCCTCTCTTCCTCATTCATCCTGTCATAATGGTCTTAGGACTTTAGCTTCATGAGTCAGAAAATGGGCAGGAGAGGAATTTGAGGAGAAGTGAAACAGAAGGGAAATGTTTGTAAAAGAGGCAGAAAGTAGGACTAGGGTGTTGGGATGGAGAGAGCACTAAGCAGTCTGCGAAACAGTTGTAATGCAGTGCCTCAGTTACAGTAGACAAAGGGACAGTCTGTTGCTCAACTTGGTCACCACCGCAAGAAAAATAAAAATACTAGTCCCTTAGTGCTGTGGATAAAAACAGAGCATCCAAAATTCAGGACATGCCAATTTTCTTGGTCTCTACTATAAGCAGCTGTCCATCATTATAGGAATAAAAAGGTTTTAATACAGTACATTCTTCTCTGAAATGGACTTTGCAAACTAAGTAAATCTTGCTTTTATTTAAATTAACTAGAACAGTAATTCTTTTATTTCCATCACAGTAGATGCTCTCTTTTAGGACTTTATTCTATTAACTTGTTTTGTCTGAAGTAGCTGAACTGATACCATTCTCAGTTATATTCATTTAAGGGTGTTTAACCTTAAATTTTACTGAATGTTGCACAGTTTGCTTTGTTTTGACTTTTAAACAAACATAGGCAGTAGAAAAATTGTGAGTGCCAAATTCCCAGATGTGTTTAATAACAAAAATATTGTACTGTTATTATTATCTTAAAAGGATTGTACCTATTATAGCTTGACGTTTAAAAAATGCTTTGTTGTTAGCACACTTAAAAATCCCCACCCACACTAAATTATCTAGTACGTAGTGACCTTTATGTACACATGCTTATGTAAAAAAAAAAAAAAAATAATCTTTTGAAACAGTAAGGCAAGTTTTGACAAAGATAGACATGTAAAAAGCTCAGAAAACATATTTTTAAATTCTTACCTTCGTTGAAATCAATGGTAAAATTCTCATTTGATAAGTACAAAATTACACAGACAATAAGTATCACTTTACAAGCAAGGAAGCTTCTAGGCTTAATAATCTCATTTTAGTATCTTTGGTACTACTCTCTTAAACGTCACTGCTCATGCAGTATGCTTTTGCATGCCTTGACCATAGCAGGTATCATTGTATAAAAGGAAGACAAAAGTGAGTAGAGGTTATCCTAACTCAACTATTCATAGACCTAAACAATTTTAACTTAAATGAAAAGCCTGGACAGTTTTATTCTACTAAATTCCACTATTTCCTTTATCAATGAGGCTTTAAAAACTCTTATAAAGTAAATATTTTCAGAATTTAAGACAGAGGGGGTGACCTTTTCATCCCACTGTCATTTCTGTCAAAGCATCTATGCAATTTGAAACAGAATTATACTGCCAAAATACCATCTTCAAGTTTTACTTCCTCAGCTCCTCCCAAAAGAAGAAATACTCCTAGAAATTCTCACAGAGGATGATTGTCACAGGAGAAGATACTATGCCTTCAAAGAAAATTTGAACTGACAGAGACATACACATATTTCGATACTGGTAAAAGGACTTGAGTTTCTGGTAAGGGTCCCCAACCCCAAACTTCCCCTATTTGAGGCTCACTTGAGTACTTCTTATTTTTGCTAGAGACAGAACTGGTAGATTTTATGTGGGGATCCATATGAGATGAATCCTTCACATAGGATGAGATGGACAATCATCCGTATGAGATAGACAATCATCCAGAAAGGCGTAGTGATGGAACCTGCATGTCCTGATTATCAGTTCTGTACTTTAAGCACACACATCTGTCATAAGCTTTATGCTCTGTTCTGACAGGCATAAACAATAAAGGGACTATCACCATATTCACTTCAGAAGTAACTGAATTCTACATGGTTTGACCTCTATTCCTCTCATTAAAAAAAAGTATTTTGAAAAAAAATTTATGAATGGTCATTTGTAGTTCTATTTGAGCTGATAAAAATGTCCAAAAGAAATAGGAAGAAAAAGAAGAAGAGATTGTATTTCAAACCCACAGTGATTATTTTTATTTTTGTTATTTTAACATGCATTTTAAGCTGTAAATCAATGCAACTGAGTCTTTCCAAGAGTACACTGCCTTCCAAACAGGAAACTGGGATGAAATTTCCTCAGACTGTCACAGGATTGATTCAAGCAGTGAAACCTCATATTCCCAAGAAAAAGTTTTTCTTGTTCAGATTTATTAAAGAAGATTTTAAACATGACTTTGTAGCAAAGGTAAATTTTTTGGCAAATTCAAGAAGAAATGATGGTCCTTTCTTAAATATATGATTTTTTTTTCAAAGAAATCCAAGCACTTTTTAAAGTCGTAGACACCACTATTATGAGGTTGAAATTCTGTCCTTACTACCCTGTTTTTCATCAGACTGTTTCTATATAGGGAAACACAGCATAAATTTATGTAATAAGAAGAGTGTGATCAATTGTGTTTTAAAACAATGCTTGATTTTTATCTGTCTACCAACTGCAGTAAAATGAAGAGCTTTTACTTGTTTCTGTATGCACACAAAAAACTGACTTCATCACTGACAGATTCACAGTTAGAAAGAAAAGTTTCCTGTGGATTTGTTACAGTCCCTATTACCTCCAATAATTGCAGAGTCACTTCTGATTGCATTAGCTAAGGGCTTTCCCTCATCTATTGGTCCAGAGTGATCTGCAGAAAAAAAAAAAAAAAAAAAAAAAAAAAAAAAAAGAAAATGACAGACAAATAGAGGACATGTTTTTTTAAGAAATTCTCACAGTCACAGTTCATTTACAATATGGTACAGTGGCAGTAGCATGGGTCAGTAAGCATGCATAGAACATCAATGTAGGTGACACTTTGCAGAGACAAAAAGAAAAATGCAAACATTCAGATGAAAAGAGAAAGGCTAGAGAAAAGGAAGTAAGTACATATAAAAGAGAATTATTTACAAACTACTCCTGAGATGTTAACCCACATGGAAAAATAAAAAGTCAGTTGTGATTCAGGTCATGAGTATTCTATTTGGATTTTGTTTCAGAGATCAGAACAAGTGATAACCATATGCTACCTGCAAATGAATGGGTTGTTTCACTTGATGTTGAGTCAGCTCCAGTTAAAGTACCACAGTTGGATTCAGTGAAACGCCCTTTTACAATGACAGGGGCTGAGCTGCTGTGGTGTAGTGCAGCCTTCAAAGGAGCGACGTGGTTGAACTGCACTGAAGATAGACAGCCAACAAACCCCTGAGAGTTTGCCTTCACAGTCTCCTCATCCACATCACTGTTTTCTGTTAATCAAAAGGAACAGAACACAATTAATCATAGTGCAAATGTACAAAATAAAGTGTCAGAAGAATAAATGAATAATTAACCTGTGTTCCTCTGAGTATATTTGAGTTGCAGCAACATATGTAGATTCACTGAATCTCTTTCTTGTCTGACTTTAATGAAAAGACAGTCAGATACATTCACACCTCCCCCTTACTTTTGAACAGATGACAGTTGCTAATCTGCTGAGGGAAATACTTTTAAATTCTTATAGCAAGTTCCAAAGCAAAAGGCTTCTATTGTAAATGAAGTATTTAAATTAAAATACAACAATTTTTCATTCTGCAAAAATATAAGACTGAAGAATTAATTCCAGAAAAATGCATTTTATTGGATTTCTTCTGATAAATTAACATTTTTGGAACATATCATTCTATAGACTCATAGATCTACTCCATTTCAGCACCATCAAGTCTGTCAAAGCAAAAACCCTGAAGATCTCAGGTCATCAGATCCTGGAAATCCATCAAGATATTTTCTGTGAAATTTAAAAAAATTAATAGTGTTCCAATTCACTACGCATTTTAAAATATGATACCATTATTGATACCACAAAGGGGAGGGAAAAAAAAAAGCAAGAAGACACCTCCTCACTTTTTCTCTTGAGTTACCTTTCTGAACGCATGTGAAAAGTACTCTGCATGTTAGAACTCTATTAATTCACTGGTAATGCTCACTAAAGCACCACTTTTGATGCAGAAAACAAACAGTTTATTTACTCTGGCAGTTCTAATTTAAGTAAAAACTCTGGAAATACTAGTAATAAAAGGAGAAGTCATAAGGGAAATAAATTTGCAAATAAAATAGGAATTTAATCTCATTAATTTTCACTTCCAACATGTTCTGGAACCCACAAGTGAACTTGTGACCTTTACAATAACTACCATAATAACTTTAAGTTTTACAGTGCTCTCCTCAATAAAATTTAGGTTAATAGTGAAAAATGGGATAATGTGTTCAAGTAGAATGTTTCAAAATAGCAGAGTAGCATTTTCTTCAACTAATCTCTGTTTATTGCACTGAATATGGACTACAAGATGGAAGGATGTCAGACAAAAGTCTGCTCACCTACACTGATGGATTACATAAGGTGTTGGCTGTTTAACTGTCTCTGCTTTCTTTGCAGTTGTTTTCAATATCTGCCTCTATGCACTGAAGGATCTGCTAGGACGGGATATTTTAAGAAAAAGATTAGCCCTGAAGTGGCAAGAAAACATTTTCACAAACCCCCTATGATAAAAATATATACTTCTAAATATGAGTCAGATTGAAAATCTCAAGAGGAGAGTAGTCTCTATTATTTTTTGGTTCCTATATAAATCCTTTACTAAACAACATATATGTACAATAAGAAAGGAAATATTCTGAATCCTTTGATTTCACTTGACTCCTTAACTAGAAAATATTGCTGGATAAAGTAAGGCTTTATATTGGATCAGGCAATCTTGATGATAAAAGTGAAAGGGCTTAGGGAAGACCACCATCATCCACTTTCCTCCTAAAGTAAAATTTAAGTGACTGAAAGTGGCACTCATAAACACTCACAGGTTGTTTATTTTATATTACAGTAAACTGAAGTTATGCTTCCTTAAGTGTTAGAGGTTAGATTTCTTTCCTTTTGTTACTTTTTACTTATACAATTTTTTTCCCCATAGGTTGCTAGGAAACACTAATGACTGGGCACTTAAGAAAGCAAAAGAAGTGGCCAAGCTCAGGGGAGGAGGGCATCTGGTTGCACTTCTCTTATCTGGGAGTTTGTCTCCGAGGGGCAGAGATACCACAGGAACTGGGCAGGTACCGGGGCTGGGGCAGCTGCTCTTTCTCTCCCTCTCTCTCTTGGCTTTGGAGGAGGACGGTCAGAGCTGCTGCTTGGGGAAGGGAATTCGCTGCTGCCGCCGGAGCCCAGCCCAGAGCTGCTTCTTCTGCCGTGGGGTGAGCCTCTGGCCACTGCTCGTGAGAGCAGCCACTGAACTGAGACCTTATTGTCACCCACCTCACTAAAAGAGGGACCCATGCCCGTCGGGAGCCCGGGATCCTGAGCTCGCCTCTCCCTGCCCTGCTGGGAGCCGGGCCGCCCCTACTTCCCCCGCTGCTTCTTTGGCACTGCTCCGAGTTTTCGCTGCAGCCCCGCACGCCCTGCCTGCCAAGACTCCTGCCGTCCCATATCTCATTAGAAATTCATTTGCTGAGAGAACCCAAGCTTACCATAGACAAAATTACTCCACATACATTGTCTTTAAAAAAAAAAAAAAAAAAAAAAGATGCCTCAAAAGTAAAAAACACTCAGTAACTCTCTTTCTTTAACTCTGCTTCAACCATTTGTCTTTGTGAAGTAGTCAAGCAGAAAGTCAGCAGACATACAGCTCCTATCAGAACATTTTAAGACAAGAACTGTGATGCCTTCTAATAGCTTTATGTCTTATATTACATCACCCAAAACTGCACATCTTGAGGTGAGGCCATCCCAGTGCAATCCCCTCCTTTGCCCGGCTGGTGATGCTGTGCCTGATGCACCCAGGACAGGGTTGGCCATCCTGGCTGCCAGGGCACTGCTGACCCATGTTCAACATGTCATTGACCAGGACATCCAGGTCTCTTTCTGCAGTGCTGCTTTCCAGCACCTCATTTCCCATTATGTCCTTACGTCCAGCTACGGACTCTGGAATCTGTCTTTGTTAAACTTCATACAGCTGGCAACTGCCCAGCCCTCTTAATTTTTTGCTGTCTCTCTGCAGGGCCTCTTGCCTTCAAGGGAATCAATAATAGTTCCTTTTAATTTACTATCATTGTCAAACTTACTGTACCTTTAAGTCCTGCATCCAAGTAATTTATGAAGATGTTAAAGAGCACAAGGCTGAGAATGGAGCCCGGTGGAACTTCACCTGTGACAGGTGCCCAGTCTGATGTCACCCCATTCACTGTAACCCTTTGTGCTTAACCTGTTAGCCAGCTGCTCACCCACCACATGATGTGTTTATCCAGCTCTGGGCTGGACATTTTGTCCAGAAGGATCCTGTGAGAGACATCTTCAAAAGATTTACTGAAAAGGATTACATCAACTGGCTTTCCTTGGTCAACGAGGCATGTTTATGTTGTCATAAATGAAAATTGGGTTTGATAAACACGACTTTCTTCTCATAGACCTGTATTGGCTATGACTAATGACTGCATTGTCCTTCAGCTGTTTTTCAATGCCTCCTAGAATAATCTTCTCCATAGTTATATCAGGCACTGAAGTGAGGCTGACGGGCCTGTAGCTCCCTGGGTCAGTCTTACATACCCTTATTGAAATCTGGGACAACATCAGCGAGCTTCCCAGCTTGTACAGATTCAATCATTCAAAAACCACAGAGAGAGGCCTGGCAGTGACATCAGTCAGCTTTTTCAGTATTACTGCTTGAATCCCATCAGATCCAATAGACTTACAGGGATCCAGCTAGAGCAGGAGATTCCGCACAAGTTTTGTTTGAACAAAGAACTGTCATGTTCAAATGCAGAAGAGCTCAGAAAAGTATTTGTCCAACCGAAGATAATTCTTTAAAATAAAAAGCTTCCTTATGTGGTTTTCAGGAACAACATTTTCATGCACAAGAAATACATGATCTCACATTTTGTTAACTCCTTATGTTTAGACCTCTTCACTGCAATAAACACTCATTACCTTTTTCCTCTGCCTTTGTGAAGTCTTCTTCAGTCTCTACATAGGACTTCATAGGAATCAGAACCTAAAGCAATCAGATTTCTAAGAGAAATAGTAACTCCTTTGAAATGGGGAGAAATATATGTTTTCTTCAGGACAGATTCTGAGACAAATTGGGCTGACTGTCCCACCAGTGAGCACATGACTGCTGTGTCATTGCAAAGCCATCATATAACTGAATAAAATCCCACTTCTGAATTTTTGTAACTGTATGGCTCTTTGGAAGAGACAATATTGGTCCTGGTCAGAAGACCAATAGACTACTTTTCTAAAGATGTACATTTACATAAATTTAATCAAATGCATTTTTAAGTAAACAGATGTAAGTTTGGATATGATATTTTATAACAAAGATAAAAGAAGCTTTCATTCTGTATTGGTCACTGTGGTATTAACCTTATGTGAGTGTGACTGCAATAAACTACTACACTTCAAAATATTATACATTCCTGATTCAATTTTGTCATCATATTGAAAAGTTTGAAATATTTGTAACAATTTTATTGTAGAAGTTTATATTTCAGCTAATATTGCTTTAAGGTTATGCATAAGTGATCATTCTCTTTTTCATTTTCTGTGCATATCTACAAACCAGTTCTCTTTTGGAGATTGAGATTTATATATAAAATCTACATTTTGAAAGTATATATTTCTGTTTGTGTTAGAGGTACTTAGTTTTCCAGTAAGAAAACAAATCAGCTATACTGAGATTCTCCTAAAGATAAGTAAACAATAATTAAGATTTTTTTTTTATGGTCCATGAACATGGCTTCTGAACTACTTTAATACATTATAAGCAATTTAGCATTTGGTAATTATTCTCATAAAAATAACTATCACTGTATGAATTTTATTATGTATTTTAAATTATTATTCTACCTTTTCTAGATAACACTCTCATAATTGAAAACAACAACCACCTATTTCACAGATAAAGAATTAACTGGATCTCCTTATCCAAACATTTGCGTGCAACAGCTCAATGTCTAAAGAGGGATAGGTTACAGGTGGTGCTCCTCTGGGCCCACACTGATACCGTTTCTGTTCAACATCTTCTCTTACGACACCAAGAGTAGGATTGAGTGCATCTGAAGCAACCCCGTGGATGACACTAAATTGAACTGTTCAGTTGACACACTTGAGAGATGGAATGCCACCCAGAGGGACACTGACAGGTTTGAGGACTGGGACCAAGTGAATCTCATCAAATTCAACAACAGCAAGTACAAAGTTATGCACCTGCATCTGCACAACCCCCGTGCATCAATACGGGGGTTGTGCAGATTTGGGAGGGAGGGTGGGAAATGGCTTGAGAGCAGCCCTGAGGAGAAGGGCTTGGGGGTGTTGGTGGACCAGAAGCACAACATGGGCCAGAAATGTGCACTTGCAGCCCAAAAGCCATTGTTATTCTGGGACTGTTCAGGGCCAGGCTGGATGCAGCTCTGATAAACCTGGTCTAGTGGCAGGTGTTCCTGCCTATTATAGGGGGTTGGAATGAGGTGATCTTTAAGGTCTTTTCCAATCCAGGCCTATGATTCTGGGTTGCATCCAAAGCATTGTGGTCAGCAGGGCTAGGGTAGTGACTCTGTGCCTCCCGTCGGCTCTGCTGAGACCCCACCTGGAATCCTGCATCCAGCTCTGGGGTCTCAGACAGGAAAGACATGGACTTGTTAGAGCAAGTCTAGAGAAGGACTGTGAAGATGATAATACTGGAGCAGCTCCCTATAAAGAAAGACTGAGAAAGGTGGGGGTGTTCAAGCCTGGAGAAGAGAAGTCTCCAAGGTGATTTTATAGCAGCCTTACAGTACCTAAAGGAGGCTATAAGAAAGCTGAAGAGTGACATTTTACGTGTGCATATAGTAACGGAACAGAAAGGAAGGGCTTTAGACTGAACAGTTGTAGATTTAACCCGGAAATGAGGAAGAAATTCTATGCTGTGTGGGTGAAAGATGCTGGAACAGACTGCCCAGGAAAGCAGTGCATGTCCTCATGGGAAGTGTTCAAGGCCAGTGGATGAGGCTTTGAATGACCTGGTCCGGGCAAAGCTGTTCCAGCACACAACAGGGGTGCTGGAACCAGATGACCTTTTACGCCCTTTTCAACCCAAAACTTTCTGTGATTCTATGAAATTACTTTAGAGAAAAGAGAAATAGCCTTTAAATTTGCAACAACACCAAATCTTTCTCTATCATTGCCAAAGTGAAAGGTATGAAAAGAACAAGATCTTGAGAATTTCAGTCCAGGCTATTGCTATTTTCTTTTAAGAAATAGTGATTGTAGATAGGTAAATTTCATTTTGATCATTACTGCAGAGAAACAGACATATTTTGAAGTATCGTCACGAGACAAAGAATCTCCAACAAAGATTTGATTTACATTACCATATTCTTCACTGTTTACATCAAAATCTAATCACAGGAAGTTTTTCAAGTACGATACGTGATTAATAGTATTATATCATCTCTGTGTATGATTTCAACTTGATTTGTTTTTTCTCCAGAATAGAAAACAAAGTGGTGTTTCTTAATGCTTGATTGCAAAATGAGAGAGAAGTGTACAATTATTTTTAATGGAACCCACTTGATAATTTTTTCAGGAAGCACTTATTTGTGATTATATCTGTATTTCCACAAGACTGAAGTTTCTGCCTTGATTGTGACTCTGTGTCTAAGTAAATCCACAACAACAAATGTCTTTCAATGACATTTGCGTTGCTTTTTTTTCCATGCCCCATGATGACATTTGATCCATTTTAGAAAACCCTGCAGTTTTAGAACTGCTGTGGTGCTCCACTTACCTATAATCTTCCCAAGTGTGAGAGACTTGATTGCATTGAATTCTGTGCCTGAAGACAGAATAAACTTCATTCTTTCATTCTGGTTAACCTATAGAATGAAAGAGTGAGGAACAAAGTAGAATAATGGAAGAGGTAGTAGTCAATATTTTCAAAAAAGCAGGTAAGATTGAAGCTAAAAATAAGAAGGCCTGAGGGAAGCATTTGTTATTTATAGCATAAAAACTCATCAGGAAATAGATTATCATCTTCCTTAGATCACTGATTATAACTGATATTCTTAAGCATCCCACTTAATAAGCCTTTATTTATCTTAGTGATTTGGCTGATTCTTTCTTTTTCATGTCTAAGATGAATAAAAAATAGCAAACCTTTAAGAATATTAGTATTTTCATTGTAAAAAGGCACTCAATATTTAACTTCATAAAGATCAACTATTATATTGTAAATATTCTGCCTCTCAGGGTACCTCTAGGACAACTTCAAGCCAAGTACCATTACCCAAGTTCTAGCCTCAAAATACTAAAATATAACATGCAGTTATTTTGAATTAAAAAAAATATACTTTTTGCATTTTAGTATCAACCATTAGCAAAATAAATGTTTCTATTTTACAATGAAATTTCCACAAAAATAACAAAAATATCCTCCTTAATAGCCACATTCCTTTGGTGATGTAAAAGAGACCAAAGAAAAACTTTAAAACAGACTTAAATTATTACCTGTGTGGTAATATATTTGTACTGTAGTTTAATACATAATTTAACTAAAAAAACTGAAAATGCAAGACCCGAAAAAACCAACAGCAGTCACACTCATTTACCAAATTTTAAAAATTTAACCATCAAACAATAAACTGCATTTTCTTGTAAAATTAACAGGTGATATTTGCCTTTTGAAATAAACAAAATGAACATCAAAGAGATTGGCTAACATTAATTTTGACTGTGCATCATGAGACTGTTAACTTTGCTTTGATTACTTGAGATATTAAGGCACATTTTATTTGGGGGTAATTGCCTTGTTGCAAGTATTTACTGCATTTTGCTTGTCTATTTTTTTATGATAATCCACTCTTCCCCCCACTCCTAATGGAATTACCTCTACAAAAAGTGTTTCCTCCTCTCTATTAATCTTCACATGTTGTAGTTGTCCATCAGCCATGCTTTTGAAACTGATGCTGAAGACATCAGGATCTTGATGGCTATCTAGCTTGTACCTAATCTGTAAACTTCCTGTGAGGATAAAGAGAGAAAAGGTGTAGTACACTACATACACTATAAGCAGTATAGATAATATGTTTTATGATATATTATATACTATGCAACATATGATAGGCAATTTATGAACTAACATGCTTCACAGGGGTACTGCAAGGGCAAATCAAATGCTTGATTTGTTTAAGGACTTAGCCATGAGAAAAGGATATAAGTGAGAAATTAAAGGCAACAGAATGAGTAATAGCAATATTGGAAGCAGGACATAGTTGCAAGAATAGTCATAAGCTGTCTCAGTTTTGATTATTGACTTAAAATTTGGGCAGAAATTTTATAATTACTTTCAAAATTCAGCTGAGAAAGACTCAGTCTGGTAGCTCTCATTATTGTGACTTATCAAATATAACTCATAATTCTTGAATAATGTTTTCCCTGTCCAGTCCTGTAAACCATTTGAAAATTAAATTGAATGCAGTGTAAAATCTCAATCCTAGATCACTTTCTATTCCTTATTTTTAACTTGCAGAATACTGTCTGTACACAAATAATCACACAAAGACTCAGAAGAGAACACAGAGGCAATGTAGTTTCCTGGTCAGGAATTCCTTCTCAGCTGTAGATGGACCACAACTTTCTACTCATGTTCTAGAAATAGAGGCCCATGTCAGATCCGGGTCAGTCATGACAACACATCTTCCATGTCACATGACAGGGAGTATTACACAGCTATTCTATATCCAGATATGTGTCTAGGAAAGCACAGAACCTTCCTTAAGCACTGAACCACGGTGACTGCAAAGAGTCTTTGATAAACCTGAAAATTTAACTCAGCCTGTTGGGTTTTTTTACTTAAAAAAAGATACCTAGATCTAGATGAAAGAATGGAAAAGAAAGAGCTGACTTAATGCTCAGTTTAAATAGAAATATCAATAATGTTACATGTATTTTTACAGATATGTGTGTGTGTATATATATATGCATATATAAATGCATATATATATATATATAATATATATATATATATATACGCATTTTCATAGGTATATAAGTAGCTTATGAAATAAATTTAATGAAATGACCTCTGATTAGTTTGGGAAATGGATAATGCACTTTAAAAAGTATTTTATTTCATAATTTATTTTGAGGATGGCAATTGATAGGCCTGATGAGTAGAACACAACTCAGATAAATTTTAATTTTAATTTCCAAACTTTAAAACCCAAATATTTCTGAAAGATTTTCAGAAATAAACATTTTTGACAACATGATTAAAAAGCAGTAGTGAAAGTTGAAAGTACAGTAGCAGGAATGCTTTTCATGTGGAAAGGATTGCTTGATGAAGCTGAAAAACAGATACCATCTACAGAATCAACAGGACAATATGTAGTTCCTGATTCAGGTCTGGAAATCAGAGAGAATCCAAGCTGACAGTTATGATGTTCATTAGTGTTTCCAGACATCCAATCTGAAAACTCACCATTCCTGGTGAGAATGACTGAGAGGTATTCCTTGTAGAAGGAGCTGACATAGAGCAGCAAGCTTGGCGTCCGTGTTGTTCGGAAGGCAAATGTAATAGCTTCCCTGGCCAGTGTCATGTCAGCATAGAAAGAAGAAGCATGAGAACTGGAATTTTTAGCTAATGTGTAGTATTCTTGAAAGTTGTATGTCACAGAAGTGCCAGTCCAAAAATAGGCAGAGATCTCTGAAACAAAAAATAATCAATATTTAAATATAATCCAAAATAACACTACAGAGCCTTTATTTTTTTTTTTTTTTTGGTTGGTTGGTGTTTTTTCCTTCTGCCACATCACAGAAGAAAATAAAATGTATTCTATACTATTGTGATAAAGCTAAAAAGTAAACAAAAATGAAACTAGCATTTAGAAGTACAGAGAAACTTAAGACACAACCTGGTCTAGGGCAAGAGCTCATTTAGATGTGTGTCTTAAATGTATGTTTAATGAAGAAATGCATTTTTTTCTAGGTTATTTTCTATTGATCATCCTAGTTCTCAAGCACAATTTATTCAGTCTTGTATGTATAGTGCTCTTTGTATATTACAAAGAAGTGGGTGCAGAAATTTGAATCCTAACATTTAGGTTAGATTTGGTCAGAAACACATACGTGGTAGAAGAGACTGATCAGCTGGGAGGAAGAAAAGGAAAACAGAAACCATCTTATGCTCTTCTTATGTATGAATCACTTATAGAGGCCTTCTGTAATTGTACGATTCCTGTTTTCTGCTAAAAGCATTTGTCTTGGTGCTTTGGATCACACCTTTCACACTTTGGAGAAATTTCTTGAAGTGTCTATAATCTGGTCCAGTATTTGACAAAAGCTGACTGAAACTTATTGTATAGGTCATCCCACACTTCTAGCAACAGAAGCTAGTCTGCCTCTGCTGAATATTACAGTGCGACCATTAGTTCCTGCTGATGCAGAGGAGGACTGTATGCCACTCTAATGCCACTGTATGAGGAAAAAATGTCATTCCTCATATGGTGGCATTAGACCTGCAGTGCTAGATACGGAAATTCTGAAGACTTTGGCTCCCTCACTTTTGTGGTGGCGGTGATGACAGGGCAGATTTTGTGCTAATTTAGAGTAATGTGAAGTTGTGGCATATAAGCTGCTTAGTATTTTGCAGAATACATTTAACACATGGAGGAAGCAAGATTTTTTTGCAAATCTGAATTATATGCAAACACCAAAACTTCTAAATAAACTTCCATTTTTGAAATTCAGACTTGATGACTTGTGATCATCTACCAGTATGAAAACTTCACCAAAGAGCTACTTCAAAAAGACTTGGAAAATGGGCTCAGTTCTGATTGCAAAGATCTTACTTTCTTCTTACAGCAAAAAGTAGATTTAAGTTCTTCTGTTCCTTGGTTTGTTTTCCAAATTCAGAGTTAGTTTTGAGCTTACTATTTGAAAGACAGAAATCCAAATGCTTTACCACAAGAACATAGTTCCTAGATTTACTATAGTATCAAAGAATTAAAAAAGTTGCATGAAGATGCTGATCCTCTGGGGTAATGTGGTTCCTGCTTAAATGGTATACATTGAAGTTATCTCTGAAAGAACAGTGTTTAGCAAAACTTACAGATATTGAGTAAACTCAGCAGAATATTTACCTACATTATGTAAACCACATATTTTGCAAGATGTAAACATATCTTTAAGGGGATTTGAAGATCTTGATCTGGACTGTATGGTCCTGTTTTCAATAACTGATAAAGCTAAAAGACATACTTGCCTTTCTTACAGAATGGACCAGCATAGGCTGAGAAAGTGCAGTCACAGGAGAATCCACTGTACTTCTCTCTACATTTTCCACCATTGTGACACAGGTTACCATAACTGCTACAATGTCCAGGGCAGCCTGGTTCAACTCCTGGCGTTATCTTTGCTCTCTCTTCCAGATCAAGGGCCATTCCATTCAATCGTAATGAACGAATGCATCCCAAAAATCCTTTCTGCCTGGATGCCGTTCCACCTGAAAATAAATTACCAGGAGCTTTAAAAACTTTTAAATAATTGATATGTAAAACAATCTTTATAGTTTACAGCCTATGAACAGTATATTATGACTTTCTAACACACAAGCTTATTCATATGAAAATATTTATAAGTAGCTTTAAAAGTACATCTGATTTCTGTTTTGTCAAGTAATTACAGAGAGCCCTTGAAGACTCTATTAATTCACAAAAAAAAGGGATAGGAGGGGAGGAGAGGGGAGGGGAGGGGAGGGGAGGGGAGCTCTGTCTAGCATCTTTATTGGTGATTTGGATGAGTGCACCTGCAGTAAGGTCGGAGATGATATTATGCAGGGGAGGGGAGCTCTGTCTAGTATCTTTATTGGTGATTTGGATGAGTGCACCTGCAGTAAGGTCGGAGATGATATTATGCTGGGTGGGAGTATTGATCTGCTGAAGGGTAGGAAGGATCTGCAAGGGGACTGGATTGATGGGCTAAGGTCAGTTGTGTGATGTTCAACAAATCAGAATTTTAGCAATTCTACATGTTGTTCAAAACAACTTGATGCAAGCCTGTAGACTTGGCGAAGAGTGTCTGGAAAGCTGCCTGCTGGAAAAGGATCTGGGTTTGCTGGTCAGCAGCTGACCATGAGCCAGCTGTGTCCAGGTGGCCAGGGATGATGGCATCCTGGCCTGTATCAGCAATAGTGTGGCAGCAGGAACAGGGCAGTGGCTGTCCCCCTGTACTGAGCACTGGAGAGGTCACACCTGGAGTGCTGTGTCCCGTTCTGGGCCCCTCATACAAGAAAGACACTGAGGTGCTGGATCGTGTCAGGGAACAGGGAATGGAGTGGGTAAAAGGGTAAAGAGAGTAATTCATGAGAGAAGCAGCAGAGGGAACTGGGGTTGTTTGGCCTGGAGAAAAGGAGGTTCATGGGTGACCTTATCACTCTCTAAAACTGCCTGAAAAGAGGGTGTAGCCAGATGGGGATGGGCCTCTTCTCCCAGGAAAATAATGACAGAACAAGAGAGCATAATCTCAAACTGTGCCAGGGCATGTTCATGTTGGACATTAGGGAGAATTTCTGAATGGAAAGGGTGATTAAGCATTGGAACAGACTGCTCAGTGTTGTTGTGAGTCTCAACTCCTGGAAAAGTTCAAGAAATAACTCAATGTGGAATTTAGTGCTGTGGTTTAGTTGATGAGGTTGTGCTCATTCAAAGGTTGGACTTGGTGAACTTGGAGGTTTTTTCCAACCTTAATGATTCTATGATACCCCTCAGCTGGTGTGTGTTCTGATATACTTTGTCTCAGAAGGGAGCTGTGTCCATTCTTCAATAAAATGAAGGTTAATGCCCCTCTATGCACAGGAATACCAGCCAGGTTATATCTGACTACCAAGCAGAGGTAATAACTATACAGAGCAATCCTAAGAGTAATGAGAGTTGATTCATTTTTTTTCACTGTTCTTTATTTTTCGTGCATTTCGTGATAGCTAACATTTTATTCGTCTGTGTTGCCTAGCAAGGTGTGTAACTTGCATACTATTTCTCTTGTCCTTTGTTACACAACCTACTGACATTTCTTGTCCTTTTTCCTCTTTTAAAAAGTAAAAGAAGAAAATATTCCACAACATGTGAGACTGTAAACTGCAATTCTCATATATTTCCAGTTCTCATTTGGATAAATGCTTCCATGTGATCATCCATTTTAACTTTTTTCACTTTCAAAGTTTGTATAATTATTGGTGTTACATGGAATATCTTGACATAACTGTTGTTATTTCAGTTATAATGGGACAAAATGATCTGGTGGTGGCAATTTCATGTCATCCCTGTGATTAAAATGACAAGAAATTTGAACTAGATTAAGGTGCCTTTCAATCAATCAATCAATCAATCAATCACTCAATCCACAAGTCTAGGATTCTATGGTTTGGAGGGCTGCTTTAGGCTTTAGCTCTGGTTTTGAAAAACCAGGGTGTATACAACTTCTTTACTTCTTCACAAGAAGTAAAGACTGTTTTAGCCTGAAGAAATCACATTCCTCATGTTATTGACTGAGTAATGGGTGACTCAAGAAGGTACTAGATTTCCAAGATGACATTTAAGTAAGGAGTGCCTCTGCTAATGACATTCTAAAGACACTTTATTTCATTTTTATCTAGATCCTTTAATTAATCCCAGATCTTTGTGAATTTTCAGAATGAAAAAACAGGCCAAAGCACCAGATGCCAAACAAAGTCACAGCTCGAGTACAATTGTTCACCTGAACATTATCTGAAGAAAACAAGCTAGACAACTTACCTGTAGATAAGTCAAAACTGTTTTTATGTTGTCAGCTCCATAAAAGACATGGACAAGAGTATATAATTTTACTCAGATTTGCCAGACTATTTGACAAAAAAATAGTCCCTCTATTCAATGGCTAAAAAGTCGCCAGGAAGTGCAACTGTTCATACAGAATAGTATTATATTTTTAGGAGGAGGATTAGAAGAACTAGAGGCCAACTAAGCATCTAAATAATTGTAAAAGTCTTTTGATTTGATAGTGCCAAAACAGCTATAGAATTAGACCATTTCACTGATCTAATTTCAGTTATTCATATAATAGCAGTTGTGTGGCAAGTCAAGTCAGAGAACAGCAACACAATTTAGTCTAGTAGAGTAAATAGAAATCTGATCTTTCCATTAGTAGATCTAGTGCATTACTGTGAATATAAACCAATCTCAAAACCTCTAACTCCACTGTAACTAATATATTGGATAATATTTTTTTTGTTATGGAATCCTCTATGCTTTTAATCAAAATATAAAATTCTTCAATGTTTGGTCTAGTATCCATCTTTTCTCTTCATATCTTTTGAGGCACATGTACAATTTTTTATCAGAGCATAGAAGACTTCTGTCTTTATTTCATTTTTTTCATAAGCATTCACATTTTTTGTAGCTACAGTTTAAGAACATTATTGCCCTTAAATGTATTCCTCTCCAACACAAAGCAAATAAAACTTATATTAATTTAGTATGAGTTTCTCAGAGCAGGCATAAAAAAAGACCTTTTTAAAAGTAGGGTCAGCTTTAAATGCTCATATACTATACAACATATATTTACACCAGAGACTTATGAATTCATAATAAGTCAATATTACATTAAGAATACTACTGTGGATATAACACATAGCTCTATATATCTTTCTGCAATAGCAAAAAAAATACTAATTAATTCTATTTACTCAATTTCTACTTTTTCAGCATTTTATCCAAATGCCTTAATGCCGTGTTTCAACCTGAGAAGCTGTGGATAAAGAGACACAACAAAATTTCCTTGAAATTACAGAAATGGCACAACTTCCTTTAGTAGATTACATCCTCTCAAAAAAGGGTGCAAATCTACATCCTTGAATCCTTGGTCCTTCAAACAACCCTCAAAGGAAGTAAACTTAATTTGAAATCCTCCTGGAGAAGCTATTGGCCAAGGCACTTTGAGATCTACAATCTCAAAATAGTGAATATCTGCACAGATTTGTCACAAAGTCTCTCATGTCATCATACAAAGTGTTTTCAAAAGATCGGGTTGGCAACACTTTTTCTTCCCCTCCCCACCCCAACATTTTCTTATTTTTATGATGATAATTAGGAAATATTTTGTGGAGTGCCTACCTACAAAAAGCTGGCTGTTGAGTTGCAAGCGAATATGTCCGTCAGGTGGAGCACTGTGAGATCTTTGAGGAAATTGATCTATTTGTAAGGAAGCCTCTTTGACATTTCGTTCAGCCTTCACATAATGCCATTGGTTGTCATTTAAGGAATTGCGTGATTGCACTATGACTTCACTAGGTCCATTTCCCACGTCAAAGGAAAAAACCACTTCAGATGGAGCTAGAAAGAGGATAGTAGTAGCAGGCATTTAAATTATTTCATAATTAATTGGGTCACAAAATAATTAATAGCAGACCAAGCTACTTTAAGGTTTAGCCTAGTATTACATGGGATAAGACTGACTGTTTTAGAGGAAGAGTTTACTTCAGGGGCCTGCAGCTCATTCTTCACACTCACTGACAGCAAGAGCAATGATTTATGCACCGCATGGAAACCAATCACTTTGCGGACCCCTGGAGAGCATAGTAGTCAAGAAACAGTGAAATATGCTAGCTTAGTGATTTTTCAGTTTGGATGAAATGCATCTCTTGATTACATGCTAATTGATTGCTGTTGTTAACTATATTTAACTTATCACAACTATAATCTAACCAGCATCTTCTACTGTCTATTAGCTTTTGTTATTTATTCACATAGCCTCTACGAACGTCAGAGGAAAGATTTTGATGTAGTATATAAAATTATTATTTAAATTGAGTGCTCTGAGCAAATTTCACATTACACAGTTTCATAGTTTGCCTAGAAAATCATTGAATCTTTGCAGGTCAAAATAAAAACATGAGGTATATATCAGAATATCGAAAATCTGAAAATTGTGAATATTCTCTCTGAAGGTCTTTCTTTCATATATTCAAAGACAATCATGTATGAAAAAAAGTATTCCCTAGACAATGTGCAGCCACAATTTTTTATTATTAAAGATTTAATTAAAGGAGAATAGAGAAGATTTCATAAATCCAAAGAAAGATTCCATAAATCCAAAAAAAACCCTTCCTATTTACATCATTGAATTCTGACAGAAAAGCAAAAAAATTAGGAATCAAGGGAATTAGATGAGCTTCAAACAACATTTTAAAGACAGATTAATTGAAGTAGAAGAAAATATTCCATGCAGTATTTTTTACTTTCTTTTCACTTTTTAAAAAGATATTAGACATTTTAAAACATTTAAATCCACTTTGGCCAAACTTTAGACTGAGTAATGTCACACATTTGCAATCCCTTAAGCCCTAAATCTTGTTGCCATAAAGTGTTTTTCTATAATAGTTGAACCTAAGGCAGAAAAGTAAAATGGGAAATGCATAAACCATTTCACTTACTAAGTAAAATAAAGCAGTAAATTTATAACTGGAATACCTTTTGTACTAAATGACCTCTTCTGCTTAAAAATCAAGTTTTACCTAATAATAAGAAATAATTGATATCTAAACACAATTCCTCAGTAAAATAAATTAGTTTTAGGATAAATTTCTTTTCTTTAGAAAAAGCTGAGAACTCACTCTCCCCTTATAGAGGGATAAAAGGAAAAAAAAAAAAAAAACAAACCAAAAAAAAACAACCACACAGTAGGAGAACAAAAGCAACAGAAAATCTATGTGACTGGCTAAAAAGAATTTCTACTGAATGTTACCTTCTGCAGAGAGGTCTGTGTAATCTTCTGGATACTGTTGGAGTTAAGCCTGAAAACACAAGTTCTGCTTTGAACTCACTGAATGTGCCTATTGAATAGCATATCAGAATGACAAATCTGATAAATAATGTTACTGTTTAAATTTTAAAGGCAAGAAAACGCATAATAAAGATTTTGAAATAACCACTGAAATAATGAATTATGTTAGAACCACTAAAATTTCATATAATCTTGAAAAAAGGGAAGCAATCCCTGAATTCTACATATGAAGGCTGAAATTACAAGAATGGGTTCATGGTCATCCATTGTAGTGTCTGAAGGCTAACCAGAATATGTCCAAAAAAATGAAAGATATAATCACTTAACATTCTATAATATTATAACAACAACAATGCAAATTTGAAAGAAAATTTGGTTTTATTAGAATGACCACGAGAATGTGCCACAGGATGTGGAAGGATGATACTGGATTCTAAAATCTGTTATCTTGCAACAAAGGACGTACACACAGAGCACTTTGGTCATTTCTTAGGCAGCAGAAGAGAATGCATCCTGGAGTTCTCTTCTGGCACAAAAATATTTTTTGGGTCCTACCTACATGGTTGTTGCTTAAAAACTATCCAAGCATTGCAGGAACTCTTATAACCATAGTGCGTTTGAACACAGGCAGAGTCCATCTACAGACTGGCAAAGTGGAGTGGAAGTTGATGGTTGTCATGGAGAGTGGTCAGTGGCTAGCTGTGGCTAGAATGACTAACAGAAAGTACAGCTGCAGAGAGCCATCCAGAGTATTATGTAAGCGTAAGCATCATGTGCAGAAGCAGAAAGTGATTACCAGCTAATATGCTACAGGATGAAAAATCCTAGCTTTTTCCATAAAGGAAGCAGTTGAACTGCACTCATCCTGGACAGTAAGTTACAAATTTGGGCAGACAAAGGCCACCAGTAGTTGCATATTGCACTGTTCTGAACTACTTCCAAAGCAACTGCAGAAGCCCAACCAAATCAATACACCATAGTGTTTCCAACCCTATTTTATATTTCTGTTTAACTCTTTGGAAATAAACCTTCAGTGAGCATTCAGTATAAAATACCCAGGCCTTTGGCCAGAGCATGTAATCTTTGGTCCTATAAGTATTTAGCAGAGTGTACTCTTCAGCATTGAATCAGCTTTGTAGCTTTCAACCAATATTTCTGCAGTAAATCAGTAAATGAGGAAGAAGTTCAACATGCAATTATAACTTATTGCAGAACAAAAATAAGGGATCAAATATCTTCTTTGAGACAAGTATCTTCTTTTACTTACCCTCTCTTTAAAAATACAGTTAGGATGCACACACCATTTTTGCAAGAGTCTTCTAGAATATACACAGATGCACTACAGTGTTTATAACTTCATAAAACCAGCAGAATAGCTCTAAGTCTCACATTAAGTATCACGTTTCTGGATCTGACTTTTTTGTTTGAGCTAGACTTCAATGTCTAAAGACTACCACATAAACAAAATAATTAGATATAAAGTTTGAAAACAATAAATAAACTATTAAAAAAATTAGTCTTCCCAAGTAATGAATGTCAAATGATAATGACATGATAAGTTTTAAACATTTTCTCACATCATCCTCTTAAACAGTGACATCTGACATTTACCTTACTATTTATTGTTAGCCAAATAAAAGATATTAATTTATTTGAAACTAATAATAGAACATAAGTGTAGGCTGGTAATTTACATTCACATTTATTATAAAGGATATGGAATTATATGATGATGAAATATAAATCTTATACCATATGAAATGCTCAAGTTAATTTTTTTTTGAGAAAGGTACTGTTGATGGAAATACATATTGCTCATTTGTGATTGATATTTTCCACCATAAAACCAGACAATTCTGAGTCCACTACAAACAATCCTTCATTTAATTTACATATGACATACAAAAACTAATGGGTCTGTCTACTCAAAAAATTAGGGTGTTTATGGAGATTAAGAAATATCTCTATATTCTACACAATAATGTGACAACTTTGCTTTTTAGATGCTGAAATTACAGACCAGTTCAGCCTTTTGCTTTCTCTCACACCTCCCTATTCATATAAAGTCATTTAAAAGATGTAAGTATGCAGTGGTTTTTATGCTTATGAATGAATGGGACAAGTGACATGAGTCTGTCTTCATATTATTATTCTGAAGAAAAACTTACAGTCTTCTAACAAATGTCTGAATAAATTCAGTTCTCAGAACCATTCCTTTAATGCTTCCATGATTTAACTGTTTATTTTGAAAATGGAAAATAATTTATCAGACAAGACTGTCATCATTGCTTCAGAGAGTCTCCACTGAAGTGCTGATCCAGTACATTTTCTGTATTGCATGACACCGAGTTTACAGTGCCACTGTCCTTTAAACTGTTCACAGAGCTTTAACAGAAGGCAGTTCATACTGCCAAAAACTTGGCAAAAACAGTGTTGAAAACAGGGTAGTTTTCAAATACAACACTATAGTTTGAGATGATGAAAAACAATTTCATTAAACACTAAACAATATTCTATAATTAAACTAACTACAGAAGGAGTTTTCCTGTTTGTTTCATTAACATAAGATGTTAACATGGACCAAAAAAAACCAAATCCAAAAAAAAAACCAAACCAAAAAACCAAGAAAGCAGAATATTTTACTTTTTAATTAAAAATATTTAATGTTTTATAGCAATATTTTGCAATGCAACATATATATTTATTTGTACTCTTCTCTAGAAAATATTGGAGTCTGATAATAAAATTGATTTGGAAAAAAATGAGGAACTGTCTAATCCCAAGGTAAAAATTGTTCTACTAGAACAATTTTAGAGAACACTCAGAGTCACCAGGCAAGAAAAAGACTTTTCAATTAATGTGACATTTCAAATTAATTCAAAAGTCTAATGAAAAAGTGCTTTATCCTTTCAAATACTCTCCTTTTCAATAATGAGCAATATAAGAATAATACATTGGGTCAACTAAGATAAAGGTTTCACTTTACGCTGGTCACCTTATGTCGGATTTAGTGGGATATTTAATTCTCTCTTATGCAACAAAAATTTATTTCTGCTTGTAAGTATAAGAATTTATGTTTGCACAAATAAAATAAAAAAAATTGAAAGGAAAAAAAACAAAAAGAAAAAAGATGAGAATGTGTGACTTAAGGTACTGTGGCACATGAGGTCTGAGTCACACATGGTGATTGAGTGAGTCTTCCAGCAGCCACATATAATGCCTGGTCTTAAAATTTGGAGTAAGAGAATTTGGTGGTAGAGATACACTAAACACAAGAAGTAGAAACAGTCTTAGCAGTCAGGGGCTGATTGCTGTGTTCTTAGATTAAGAAACCCCTGTGGCAGAAAATATCCTCAAATGAGTACTTGTTTAGTCTCAGTGCTGTGATTTTTTCTGATAATGATAAAGATCTGGTAGTAGCAGTAGAAGTAATAAAGGTAGAGAACAGTTTTTAAACACTCCCCCTTTAAATTAAATAAAATCCAATTTTTATAATAATAACAACAAAAACAAAATACCATCAGTCATGTTACTTACACTGTAACTCTATCCTTATGAAGTCTTGAATTCCCAGGTTCTCTAAAAACACTCCTGAGGATGCGGTAGTTTTAAAGAAAAATGAGACATCTGCACTGAATTCTCCGTGGAAGGTGGGGAAATGCAGGTAGGATGTCTCTGTATTGAAGGAAGCTGAATTCCAAAATGTTCCTGGTTAACAGAATGAAAGGATGATAGATACAGTGTTATCTAACATTTCTAGTGTAAGTTTTATAACCGATAAACAAAAGAAAATTCCCAGGTTTAAGAACGGGTCGCAGTGTTCAGAGAGTCCACATCCACAGAAGCTTCCCTATTAGCTCATAATACAAAAAGGTAGGCAGTACTGGGAATGTAGAATAATGTTTCATCAAGAATAAAGGTGCTCAGCTGAGGCAACAAAAAACCAATTATTAGGAAACAAAATTAATTTCATCTGCGCTGAGAAGTCCGGTAATGTCCTGATGTATCCTTTCATGAAGTAAGCAAACATAGCAGCTATGAATGAAGTATTATACCTACATTAAAACAGTATGGCTGAGGGAGCTGTTTAGCCTGGAAAAAAGGAGGATCCTTTTCCCCAGGCTAAACAGCCTAAATAATGTGGGGACCTTATTGTTCTCTGCGACTGCCTCAAAGGAGAGTGCAGTGAGGCAGGGTCCATTGTCTTCTCCCAGGTTACAAGTGACAAGATGAGAGGAAATGGCCTCAGGTTTATATTAAAGGTGACAAATATTTTTTGTTACTGAAAGGATTGTAAAGCATTGTAACAGACTTCCCAGAGTAGAGTCACAATGCATAAAAGTGTTTGAAAAACTTGTGGATATGGCACTTGAGGTCATGGTTCAATGGTGAACATGGGGGTGGTGCAAGGCTGACAGCTAAGACCTTTTTTCTTAAAGGTCTTTTCTAACCTTTACAACTCTAGGATTAGTTAGTACAAGCAATAACAAGCATGACACTTAATAAATATATATTTTACATAACAAGGAAAAAAGACTTCTTATCATTGTAGTCCAGTGATATTTACCAGATATCTCAAAGAATGCAGGACAAATATCCTTGCAATTACTGTGGAAGAAATCAAAGAAATAAATTGCGAAATTTAACAAACTAGCATAGATATTTTCCTGGTTTTATCTATTTTTACGTAAGCATCCAATTGTAATTTGCAAGGTTTAGTTACTGATTTTTAAAATGCTGATATAAAATCTCTAATATCACCCTCTTCTAATAACGACATAATCTTCATTTATGGTGTTCAACTAGAAGTACCTTGTTAATATTGCTGAATCCTTACAGATATATCAGTATTTCTTTATTAAGCTATATTGCTTTCTAAACCAAATGAGACATTCAATACTTTCTTATCTAATTGATCAAGCCCGTTGAATATTGTCCTGATAACGTTGTGATCTCAGTCTAACAGTTATGAAGAACTGTAATTTTTGCTCCAGCCATGTTCTGCTTTTAGGATGGAAAGGGGGGAAAAAAATTTGAAAATTTCTTTCTTCCCTGCAAAATCAAACCCTATAATACAGTGTATATGGAGGCCTAGTCCACAGCCAATGAAGTAAAATTAAAGTCCATTCCCTCATTCCAGCAGAGTTTTTACCATTTTTGGAAGGGTTTGGAACCCAAATCTAGAAAACCCTAGAAAAGCAGCATTGCAGGATTTTCACACATATTCTGGCAATTGCTTATTGTGACTTTTGACACTCAGGAATACTGCCAGCTATCACAAGTTAAAGCAGCCATCAGGACAACATTTACATGGTAAGGCAGCTGTGAACAGATGGCTCGGGCTGGGAGGGGAACATGTAGCTTTGCACCTTGCTCTCCTATGCTGCCTTATGGGCTTCTTGAAGTTACCAACCTGTGAAAAGCACCACCAGACAAAAGCAGCAGCCTTACATATTGGCATCAATTTTAAGCCTATGTTCCTCAGCTGTGTCAGGTCATGGCTCCCACCGAGCGAACTTCACAACTGTTGTGACTAACAGCTGTGTATCAAAGCTATTTAAAAATAATGGACTGGCTGTTACCATTAATTCAAACACAATAGGAAGTTTAATACGGTAATTTATGCAAAATTGGTACAACATTGCCAGCAATTAGAAGAGAGGCAATAGGGGCAGTAACAGTCCAGTAAATTAAGGATACAATTAGCTTCAATGAAGCATTTGAATGATATTTGTAAACCAAAATGGAGTCCTTGGGGGAGGGCAGGGATAGGAAGTTGTATTTTTTCTCTTTTGATTTAGTGCCTTTTCTTGTCTAACCGTTTGTTTTTTTTTTCTCAGCTCTGAGAGCTGTGTAATTTATGAATGTAAAGATACTTTATCAATAAAGCAGCTTAAATACAGGCTTAGGACAAGTATATTAAAAGTATCTTATATTGTTGTAAATCATGGTGGGAAAAAAATTTCTTAACTTTACAGCATCTGGCTCACAGTCTCCCATTTATTTTTCTGGAACTGCCAAACACCATTTGGTTAGGAAATTAATATTATTTAGCATTTTATCTAAGCTGTAAGACTGCAGTCTTCCTATGAGTAAAAAGAAGGAACATCCTATTCTTATAAATTATACATGAAGATATTTTTTATTGAAAAATATACATATGTTTTTGGCACATATCAACTAGCCTTACCAACTTACTTACTGTAAAACAAAAAAAAGGGACAATAATAACAAGACAGATAAATTAGCCTTCTCAAAACAATCGTGTGATTGCAATTTGTAATTTACAAATTTACAATTTGTAACGCTATTCAAGTTCCTACTCAAAACTGAAATCTGTTCATCATTTGTATCAATTCCTTGTCATATCTCTAATGGTTGCATCTTCATTCTATCAGCAGGGACACTGAGAGACAGAGAGAAATAAAGAGAAAATAAAGATCTTATGTTTCTGAACAGTATATTTTGTACTTTGGGGTTTTTTTTTTTATCTGTAAGATCCACACATAAAAGACCAGTAGGGAAAACCGTGATCATCTAGTTCAATGTCTGATATAATACAGACTATATAAATTCCCTGAATCACTTCTTATCTGAAAAAGAGAATTTAGTCTAGGAAAAATATTCAATTGATTGCATTAAAAAATGTCAATTTACAAAAAATTCACAAATGCTTTTACTGTCAGTTTGTGCATATGTATGTATTCCCACACAGTGTAGCTTCAAATCCCGAACATTAAATAATTTCCTGATTTTATTTCCTGCTTTCAAGAACATTATTTGAAATTTCTTCCTCTATGAAACTCTTTTAAAGTTTAACACATCACCTCAGATTATGTCCAAATTCAGCAAAGGAATTTAAATGCTTTCACTAAAAATGAACCTCAACTTTAATGCTATCCTTTAACCTTACATTCTCTTCATATATGTAAAACTGTAATCACAGACTTGTATTAAACCTCTTGATTATGCAGGAAGCTGCAAAGAGGACCAAAACAAAGTTGATTAGACTGAGGTTAGGACAAATATGAATTAATAATAATTTATATAAAGCTAAATAAGGGGGAAGAGTTGAACACATGGTTACAAATATTTCTGCTTTTGAAAGTAAAAGACATGTCCTGATTTCTCAGGGTACTGAAGAGAGATGAAACAGATTTTTTTTTTTTTTCCTAAATTAGAAATTTACTGTGCTGCTTTAATGAAGGTATCATGAGTGGTTGATACAGTTAGTCTCTGTTACATCCAAAGCTCACACTATTTCTTTCTTCATTTAAATGTCAAACAGAGAACTCACATTGAATGGATTATCTGCTTGCATTTATATGCTTGCACTGTCATTTTACAGTGGAATTTACTTTTTTTTTATTCAGCCAAGTAAACAAGACTACATCAAATACCTTATTAAAGTCTATCTGTGTCTCCACCAGTATTACCCTTATCTTTATTAATGTAAATTCCTGCTAAATGATATATAATCTTTACAAAGAATTATATTATCTATACATATGCATTTATATAATTTTTTATTAAGATCTATATCAACAATTTTATTTTTGGCCCAAGAATTAGTCTTATGCTGACAGAATATAATCACCTATTTAATACACAAAATTTTGGTGCATTAGCTATATTTCAGTATTTTGGATTTATTTTTATGTCCTAATACTTACTGGATATTCATAGTAATAAATCAGAATATGTCTACTCAGCTCTTGTAATGAAAAGAACAAGAAAAAAAACACCCAACATAGAAGGATGGGTTTTTTTAATCTACTCCCACTAACTGACTCTATTGGAATTTATTCAACGTCTAGCTTTTACTTCAATAATGACAAAAATAATGTCATTATTGAAGTAAAATATATGAAGTAATATATAATGTCTTCTTTTTTCATGAAGACCATAGAATTTCTATCTATTAATGTACCAAAGAGTTTGTTCATTCTCATATGCTTCAAAATCTTTCCTGTTACCCTGCTCAGTTGATATATGTTAGTGTTAATCTTAACTTTCACTATAGTTAGATATATTTTTCAATCTAATACTAGCAGTCATACCATACCATTTATTAAACATATTGTAGAGCAGAAAAGGGATTACAGAAATGAATCAGTAATAAATCAGTACTTCATTTTGAAGGTGACAGAAAAGTGTGAGTGCTAGTGATATGCGTGGTGCTGAGTGTCACCAAATACTATTGACTAATGTTTTTTAAATGGCCATATTCTTCTAGAATATCTTTAATACTTCCATTGTACCTTGGCATCTTATAAATACAGTTAGGTAGCTTTATAAAAAATTCTGAAAACTTCTATAAAATAAACTATATTAATATTTATATTACTTTTGGATTTTTTGGTTTATTTTCTTACAGAAGGCTACTCTTTCCTGCCTTGCTTTGACTAATATGGTTTGGTTTTCTTATAAGTAACATACTTCGTTGAAGAGATCAATACTTAAAACCTAAAATAAAGAAGCCAAGTACAGAAATGGAATGTTAAATAAAAGAGTGAAAAAAAAAAGCAACAATAAAGAGCCAACTTCTGCTGGACTGCATTCGGTACATGACTTTTCAGAAGCACCCAAATAAATAAATCTAACTTAGAAACTTATTGGAGTGCATGGTTTATGGCAATTCAATTCAACCAATTATTCATGGTTCTACTTTATTTTGCTGCGGGCATTAACATTTTCTTTTTCTCCCAAGTAACTGTCCCACAAGGAATAGATTATTGATGGAATAAGAATTTATGATCTTTCAGATTTGAGTCATTTAATGAAGTACTGAAGGTATTATAAATACCAACAAACCTTCTCCTCCATGTTTTTACATGGTGTGCTAGTCAGTTATTCTGAAAAACTTGTGTCTGTCAGATAGAACAGAAACCTTTTTAATAAAAGATATCCCCTGTGAAATACCATTGTATCATTTAGTTCTGGAGAGTGACAGAAGCAAAAATAGCAATGATCTCTTTGAAGAGTATTCAAATGACAGTGTAAGTCCAAGAATATCTGTTCTCCCTTGTTTGACAGCACTTCTGAAAAATGGGTATTTTCCACTAGACCTTTTCTGCATTCTTCACCTACCCAAAGGTAAACGTCATTAAAAGTATATTTAATTAGACCCTCATGAGTGTCAACAACCTCAGGTTAGGTAAAAAGTCTTAATAGCAGTCTTCTTTCCTTTTGCAGCTTTAAATTGCTGCTAGAAGCAATGGCGTGGCAAGAGAGTTTAAACTTAATCAGTTTTGTCTAGTGTGAAAATTAATATGTAGAACTCAGAAATTACTGCAAGTCATAGCTATTTACGTTAACTGTAAAACTGAATACCAAAGCAATGTTCATTACAAAATCTACTGCTGATGCACAAAGACCATTGGAAGAAAATCTACTAAGTCCTATACTCAGTATTTATTATAACACATATTATATATGAAGAATTATATTAATATATTTCAATACAGTCTACATATTACATATATACATATATATATATATATATATATATATATATATATATATAAAATTTCCTATGTAGAATAGATCACAGAATCGATTACATTGCAGAAGACCTCTGAGATCATCAAGTCCAACTTTTGACTGGTCACCACCTTGTCAACTAGACCATAGCACTGAGTGAACCGTCCACTCTTCCCTTAAACACCTCCAGGGATGATGACTCCATAGCCTCCCTGAGCATCTCACTCCAATGCTTAACAACCCTCTCTGTGGAGAAATTCCTCTGATGTACAACCTGAATGTCCTCTGGTGCAGCTGGATACCATGTCCTCTTGTCCTGTTGGCTGCCTGGGAGAAGAGGCCAATCCCCACCTGGCTACAGCCTCCTTTCAGGTGATTGCAGAGAGTGACAAGATCTCTTCTGAGCCTCCTTTTCTCGGCTAAACGTCCCCAGCTTGCTCATCCTCTCCTTATGGGACTTACCCTCTATGCCCTTCATCACCGTACTGCCCTTCTCTGGACATCATCATATATCATGCTAGAAAATATTTATATGATAATTTTATAATATGGGTAATATATAATATATTATATGTCATAAAATATTAAATATATGTATAACACACCCCAAATTATATAATAACTTTTACTGAGATATTTTATTATATACATTCATAGAATTTGTGGTTTTCTTAATGCTTTGGGTTTATGTCAAAATCTATGACAATTATTTTCCTTCAGAAATTGCTTTGTTTTCTCAAATTTTAATTCTTACGTCCTTAAATACATGTCTTCTCATACTGTCTTTATGATGTAAAAGACTGAGAAAAATTGCATTATTTAACAATCAAAATCAATGTTCTTATTCCAAGGTTTTTGCTGTTTTATGACCATGAACTGTTATATTCTGAAATCTTTTCAATGAGCTTCTTTCAGTTCAAAATTGCTTCTTTTTGAAGTCAAATGCTATAATGTTGTATGACATTGCAGGAATATTTCACTGATATTCAGACTGAGTTCTTGTGCTTGTTCTCATGATATTTTAGAATTCTCTATCACAGCCTTGTCTAGAAATACTGTGATCATTCATCATCAGTGTGAAATATTGCAGCAATTCAATCACCCAGACTAAGCAAACATCAAAAGAAGTCAGGGAGGTCAATGAGTGTCAAAACTGTCTGTATGTTTTAGAGATTACTCCGAGAAAGCTAGTTGACGTCCATGTTTTAAGATCTGTCACGTCTGAGGTCAGGTTATGTAATTAATAATAGTTGGGAACTTGGTGAGTAGTGGAATTCAAATTCTTCCCCCCAGTAATTAGAACTACGCAAGCTCTAAGTGTTTCTGTTTCATTGCTGTCTTTGTCACTGGTTTCATTATCTGTGGCCACAATGGATGTCTGCTGCATCATAGGATGAGTGAGCATGGCCGGTCAGCTGGGGGAGGTTGTTACCCCCCTCTGTTTGACATTTGTAAGAGAACACCTGCATTGGGCTTCCAATTCCCTTTCCCCTAGCAAAGGAAAACATTAATAAACAGGAGCAAGTATTGTGGAGGCCACCAGAGTGTTCAGGTCTGGAGCACTTGTCCTGCCCTTCAGGCAGGAGGAACGGGGCTGCCTCAGCCTGGGAAGGAAAAAGTTTGCTGGGGAACCTGATAGCAGACTCCAAAACCTAAGGGGAAATCATAAAAGAGACAGATACAGGGTCTTTGCATTGGTGTAAGGGGTGAGTATCAAAGACAGTGGTTATGGTGAAAGCACAGAGTTTCAGGCTTAATAAAAGTAAGAAGAAATTCTCACTGAGGACAGCCAAACAGAGGTAGAAGCTGCCCAGAGAAGCAGTGTAGGCTCCATCCTTGGGTGCTTCAAACACCAGTTTGACAAAGCCCTGAGAGACGGGTGATCTCAACTCATGGCTAATCCTGCTATAAGCAGAAAACCTCTGTAGTCCTATCACTCTGACTTATACCATAATACTATATCATAGTGTTATGATTTGTAGGACAAATGATTAGTTCACAATCAGATGTCAGACTAGCGAAGTGAAAGAACCCAGTGGGATTTTTAAGTCTTATGAATTATCATAAAAAAAACTAGAATGCAGTGCTGAAACACATCTGTTAAGAAATCTTCCAGGCATAATTACTCTGACAAGACAGAGATGACACAAAAATAATACATAATACATGCTGATAAGTGCATACAACATTTTTTTAATCTATGTGTTTTACTGAGTGTGCTTAAAAGTATAAATCAGTACTTTACTGGTACTTCTCTTACTCATATAAACTGAAGAAATTTGAAAACCAAACATGACATCATATGACTAAGGAGGAAAATCATATGAAGAATAAAAATATTTCTAAATACCGTATCTATTACATATCCAATATAACAAGTAAGTTCATGAAAACTCATAAGGTAATGTGATTTAAGGAAATTAACCTATCTGAATATTGTAATAACTTACTCAACTGCACATCAAATATGGCCCATCCAACTCTTCAGCTGAGTTCTTTGGGGTTGTTTATAGCATTTCTTCTCCTAATTCCTAATTTTTGATTACAAGCAGCAGCAGACATAGAATTTTGTGTAATACATTACTCTTGAATATAAGCCAAACATGTTCTCTTTTTCATTTAATAGGGAAATTATTAAAAACAGGAGTATCATCACAAATCTTCAATAAGGTATCATTTTGCACAAACATATTATTCTGGTTGCTACATATATGTATTCAGAATGTAAATCTAGAATTATTATTAAATTTTTAAAATTTTAATTCTTACATGTAGTTGAAAATTTGCATGTAGATATTGAATACACTGAATTACTCTCCCACAGTACAGCTTTCCTAGATGAATGAAAATTCAGAGGAGATAATATGTGTAATGTTTTGTGATGGATGCAGACATAGCTAGTGAATGGTATGTCCCCAAGATATGGTAACCAGCTACAAACTCATGTAACTCATTACTCCTGCAATGATTTATTCATAATTTAATTCCAGTTGGGTAAACCAAAATACCTGTTTTAAAACTATTATAACACTTTTTATTTTCATTATTAATATGTATAATGAAAAATAATTTTTTACAATTTCGATGGTTTGCACTGGATGATGGTGGGTTTTTTCTAATTTAAAAAAGAACTGGATGAAATTTTTAGAGAAGTCTATCTTAGGCTTGCAACAAATTCCATTTAAAAGTTATTGCAGAAAAAATGCATCACTGTTTAGCAAAACTCTTTAGTAGTTACTTACTATCACCACGGCAAAGCAAAGGCCCCAGTTTGTAAGCAGCTTCCGAGTTTGGTCTGTCAGTATCTGTGATCACAATTTCAGTTACCGGTAGATGGTCCTTGTAGGAGAGGAAGCCAGTATCATTTGTCCTGAAAAGGTAAAATGAAAGGCACAGCTCTCCTAAATGTTTCCAATAGATATTTCACTATCATTGAGGCATTCCTGAGGAAAAGGAAAGAAACTGAAAACAAAGAAAGGGGCTGCCTAAATATGTATGTGTGTGTATGTATTTGTATATGTGTGATACAAAAAACTGTAAATAGAAACATATGCTTTGGAGTTGATATTGGACTCATTTGACGGAACTAAAAGAATTTAATTTGAAGTGGGTAGTTTTATGGTTGTGACCATAAAACAAGTGTGAAAAAAGTCCTCTTGAATAAATGGGCACCTAACTGTCTGCCTGCGTCAATGAATTTGCTCAAGTCAAATTTGAAAATGAATTTTATGTTGCTGAGGACATCCAGTATCTGTAATTGACCCAGCCATCAATATGAAATATTTTATGGCTTAATATAACTTTCAAGTAAGTCTAACTTTTTTTTGTCCTACCTTGACAAAAGTTAAAAAAAAATCAAAAAATATAAAATATAGTCATGCTGATTACAGGAAAAAACAGTATATGGTACAAATATGAAACTTACAGAAAAGAAAATATTCAACTGTGCACTCTGAACACATATCTAGTACTAGTAATATTAGATCTAGTTCCTTGTTTAAAATCTTTGTTGACTTAGTGCCAGAACTGAGTTTTTAAATTTCTTAAACACCAGTTTTGGCCCTAAAATTCCTTTCCCTAAATCCACGGAAATGCTCAGTTACTCATGAGTATTCTGGAAAATTCAATCTGTCCATTCAGTCCATTCATGGTTGAATCTTCCCTTTAAGGGCAAAGCAAATAGTTCAGAATAAACAGCAGAAACTCCTCATGCTGAATAAAATTAGTCACTTTTTTCTCCTCTCCCCTCTCCCTTTCCTATCACCATCATCATCCTTCTTCTGCATACAATTTCTGTTTATCTATTTTGGAGCACAGTGCAAACAAATGGACAGTTTTTTAGCAAACTATTTTGCTTAACTGAGGAATGCAAAACATGGGGTTTTTTTAAATGTTAATTTTTCATGAGGTGAGATATTGCAGGTTTCTAATTTAGAACTAAAAGAAAATCCCTCAAAACACCTGAAGTGTTTGCTTCAGTAAAATGATGCTGTAAACAAAAGGAAACTGAATAGAAATTATCTTCCATGGAGAGGATTTTCAATTTTTAAATTTTTAGGACCAGATTTTTTTTCAAATCTTTCTGTTCTAGAGTTCTACAGACTTAAAGCTTTTGATAAGTCAAATAAGGAGTTTAGAATTAAATCTATGTCCAATGCATGAAATAAGATAGATTTCACTATAAAAGCAGACTGTCAAAGTCAGTGTTTCAAAACCATGGTGTGTAACTATTCTCTGTGCTCAAAATGCACCTCAAACAAGCATAGGTTCTGCCTACTTTTACCACCCAGTGAACAGTATCTAGTCAACTGATCCAAAACAGTAGTCTCTAGGGAACCAAATACAACGTTAATCATGGTGCACAAAATTAGTGTACACATAACCACTGTAACACTGGAGTCACTGAGAAGAATCTCTACTTAAAAGTGTCCAAAGTGGATACAAACAGAAATACAAACCCAGAGTCATTATACTTTCAATTTAATACACTCATAAACATCTAAGCAACCTACTGGAAGTGGATGTGCATGTGAAGACATGCATGTATCCTCTCATCTACTGTATTTACAAATATATTACCATTAAAAATTTACCTATATATGTGAGCATGGATTGAATGCATGACAAACCTGAGCAAGAATATTTTACATGTCTGAGAAATGGTACTATTTTTTTTTCTCAAAATGCTTTCATCTTTTAATACCTTATTTTTGTGTTAGAAATTAATATTGTTTTTATTTTCATACAGCATAATAGGGAAATTCTCAGTATTATATGTGTTTCTTTAATCTCTTTATTAGAATAAATGTTGCAGATATCACCCTGTGAATTTTACTGCAATAGGAAAATTTTTTCTCCAGAAATCTTTGAAGCTTGTGAAGAATTGTTCTTTGATTAACTGTTTTTTGTACTTTCATTTCTGTGTCTGCTCAATTCCCTGCTCATGTTGAGGGAACAAGCATTTTCCAACCCAACTCACTAGTCTCTCCTTTAAAGGAAGGGTGGACCTTCAGAAGAAAAAAATTATGTATTGCTTGATTTTGCATGCATCAAGATGTTCCTAAGTATCTTCTTTGCATTTTCCCACTTTCAAAAAATTAGATGTTGATGCATTTTTTTAAATGCATACATTAATGTACTCACTGAACTTGATTTATTTAAGTTAAATGGACTTCATAGTTTTAAGACCATAAAAATTCCTTTAACATAAGAGCTTTCATTTGAAAAGTCCCTCTGCTTTGTCAAATCCCATGCTGCATTGGAGCTATTATTGAGAAAATTGTATCTGATCTTACTAAATGAAAAGTCAGATTCAGATCTAACACTGTAACAATAACTCATTCATTATATTATTTATTTGAAAATTATGGTAAATGACACCAGAGAATTTTAGGCACAAGTGGAAGATGTACATCCTAGAAATCCATTTATTCTCTTTGAATAGGGCCCCATATGAGTGCTTGCTAGCCTATTCATTTTCTTTATCTATGTTGTAGATGAAGAAAAAGGATGTAAAAAGTCTAAACCTTAAAGTGTAGTTGTAAATTATGCTAAAAATTAACTTTTTTCACAGAATGCTTTATTTTAACTTTAATTACATTCAGTAGTCTAAAACTAAATGAAGTTGTGCTAAAGAACTATTGTCTTAATTTACAACATGCAATATATTAAAGACTAGAAAGTATCTGCAAAATTAAATCTTCCTCAAAATTCAGAGTGAAAGAATTAGCAATAATACTTAATGTATATAGCAATAACTTTGTGAAAAATTATGTTCTATAGCAAAGAATCAGATGACACTATGGCAACTTAGATTTCCAACTGCCTTGGCATTATAAATGTGCTAAGGCCTGTATATTTTCATTATTTACTTTTAACAAAAAAAAATATTGTGAATAATGAACAGTAAAAAGTCACCATTCATCCCTGTCTGCATCACAGTTGCAGTAATGCTGGGAATCAATGCAGCTTCCCTCCAGTCCACAAGCACATTTTTGTACAGCAGGCAAGGAACCTCCCCAGTAAGTATGAGTTTCATTGGTTCTTCCAATCCACCAGCTTAGTGGCATCCCATCTAAAAAGGTTAGAGAAAATCAATGCCCAGTCTTGTCTCCCACTTCTCTCAGCTTTCCCATCCAAATAAGTTTCCAAAAGTTTAAGAAGACAAAAAACTCTGCTCAAATCTAAAACCTTTAAATGACCAGGAAAGAATAAATTTTCACCTTTACTTAATAACTAATTATTCATTTTAATACTTCGTTATTATGTATTAAGTGATTGTCACAGATTTTTGCTTGCATTAGTAGAAAAGGGAACTCACAGTACCTAGTTCAGCCAGCCATGATATTAGAATAATTAATCTTAAGCAGTCAATTTATATAATTCATTTTAAAATGGTCCATGAAAGCAGATACATAATCATCCTAAAAATCAGGATAGTTTACATTCCCTAGTAAAGATCAATTTCAGATGTTGGAACCACCAGAAACAGAATGAGGGAAGTCACAGAAATGGCCTCATCCCACTACCAAGAGTACTACAGAGTACTAATACCCGTATCTGTGATGAGCTTTGAGTAGCTGAGTAGCAGCGTTAATCAGAAATGCCCAAAGACAGCTTTTCGGTCATGGACAGCAGATTCAGAATTTATATACTCAGAGACAACAGAAATCATGTTAATGGTGGTCCCATAAGTAAACTGATATATCTGATGAGCAGAAGTGAGGTTGCCCAGGACTATCACATCTCTCTGTGGCGCATCCAGTCAGCATTGTTTGTAGCAAAATGATAAAACTTAGTTTCTTTAATGTTACAGTACTGCAGAATAAGCTTAAAGGTATTGCCAAGCAAGTATAGCAACAGAATATCTACAGAACACATGATAGCAAAATGATATGAAGCATAAAGATAAACCATCTCAAATGAGATGGAAGAAGGGAGATGGATGCATGAAAGTCAAGGCATGAGAAGCAATCAAGTATTGTTAAACTATAGAATTTCTTATAGATGTAATTTTTTTTGCTTCTGCTGGAGCTCCATTTTCAGCACCTGGCCCCCATGAAGAAGATGGAATTTATTCTACTCTCAACTTTGCTTACAAGCGCCACTGCTTATTAAACCTCACTGTTAGATAAGACCTCTGTTACACTGACAATCTTTCAGATCGCGAACATATTGACTGCATTCATTACCACACAACTGTCAGCCCAGCAGGCCAAAAAACAGTGTGAGCAGTTTTTCGAAAAGTCAAGCTTGCATAATGGCATCAATGTCCAATATCAGTGTTTGCGTTTGCAAACCATCACAGGAGGAAGAAAACCCAGAGACCGTGTATAAATAATTTATCAGACAACACTTTAAAAAGGTTCTAGCAACTAAGACTGTAAAAAGCAGAATATTTCTGCTGCTTTAACAGCATGCCCTAGGTTTATACTGTAGTCATGAATTAGCATTCCCAAAGTTTCACTAGGGACATTGGGGTATGTTTAAAAGCTGGTCTCAGTTATTTGTTCCTACAGCAGGGTGAGGAGAGAGTATTTACTGAAATGCTGCAAGTTCATACCGATTAGCCTGGATTTTTTTCACTGCCTTGGCAGAAACTACTGCCTAGGCAAAATAAAGTCATTAATTAAAATGGTTAGAGATTTCTTCATAATGATCACATAAATGTATTAACCAATGACTTCTTTAATGAGATCATTTGCAAATGCTACCCAGGCTGATTGAATACAATGCATTCCTAAAATACAGTCAGTTAAGGTTTACTAGGTGGACTGTATGTTCCAAAAAATATATTATGTAACCATCATCCAATTTTCTATTTCTCAGGCATACCTAGAGAAGATTGTAAACAGCAGAAATGAGAGTGATTCAACTGTGTTTAAAAAAAGAGTTATTTTAGAAAATTTGTAGAAGTCTCATATAGGTCTCTTTCACATCTATTTATTCTTAGCATTCAAAACTAAATTTTAAATTATTTATCACAACTGATTGCACACTTTTAAAACATTAATTTTAGCACATCTATGTGCATATTATAAATATGCAGCTATATGCAATATAAACAGCATAACAATATGGATAGTGAATTATTTTAGCACATTTACATGCAAACTCCCTGGACAAAAAAAAAAATAGTCTTTAAACTTTCTGCTTGAGGCAAACCAGGCTTTTGAACATCTAAACATAGCTTTAATTTGGAGCCCACAGTAAAACAAAGGTTCATCGGGACACCTTAAGCAGCAGGTTCACTTTTTTTGCTGTGGAGGTGTTTTCAAACAGATATTCTTCCAAGAGCAAACACCAGCCTAAGAAGCCCAGAGATATCCATGCCATAATTAGGGAGAAAGAATGTATAAAGGAAGAGCTTAGACACAGAACCAGAGAGGACTTCACGCAGAGGCATTCTCTCTGCTTAGTAGGAAAGAATGCCAAGGAATCAATTTTTCACATCTTAAGAGTTTCTGGTGCACAAGCCAAAAAACTTGACTGAGTTTTTCAAAAAAAAAGTAAACAATGAGGATTTTACCTCCACATTATTTGGAGTGCTTAGATGTTCAGAGTAAAGTCTTTTAACACCATCTCTGTGTCAGTAAGAGTTAAAATTTAAATAGACTGCATAACTTCACTTTTCTTTAAGTATATCAGACTTTTCTTTATTTCTTAAGGCAATTATAATTTTGTCAATAGTCCACATTTTAACTACTGAGCTTTCTAAGAATGTTTATACTGGATAGTGGAAACTCAATGTTATTGATGTGTTTTGTCAAGTACTCACAATATGCACATTAAGTGCACACATTAACTTCTGCTGGTATCTATGCACTAATTTGTGCTCTTTTAGGAACCTATTTCCTCAGTAATAATTTAATTCCTTCTTTAAAATTAAAAAATTCTTGGAAGACCAAACAACAGGGGATCTTAATAACAATCTCTGTTAATTTAAAAGTCTTATGAGAGCAATTAACTTGTGAATTTAATTCTCTGAAAGATAATCATTATAAATCGACATTTGCATTTTCCTGGTTCAAATATCTCTTGGCAACTTACAGAAATCTGAGAACTCAATATTTGAAGTAGTTCAAACTCCATAGTAGCAAAACACCATAGCTTTGTTAGAAATAAATAACTTTAGTAGCCAGCAAAATAAAAGGCATGATGCAACATAATAAGGTTTGTCTGCTTTACTTACCTGACTTATCTAAAAGCCTTGACTTTTTGCAGTAGTAAGCAAGCTCCTGTTCACAGTGATCTGCAAGGTTTATTGTAGCCTGAAGCTGGTCTAGGCTGGCAGAATACTTGAAAAACACAGTGTGTGGGTTCTCTCGATTAGCACTTTTAACTCTGGTTAGGTTGGTGCTGTTATGCTGCATAATTGTCCACGTTGCATCTTTCAAAACACATGTGAAAAGTAATAAAGAATCAGAGTGTTGTGTAAGTTAGTGAGGGAAAGAGCATGTATGATGAAATCAGGCAAAATTCAAGATAACTTCTTGCATCACAGAAAGCCCTTTGGAACCCATGAAACAGACATAAATCATTGAGCAAAAATGAAAACAATTATTCATTGTTTCTATTCATAGGTAGATCATTGTGCCATGACTGTAACAGATATTCAGCTAGTTAAGATTATTCAATATGTGACACCAAATATTTGTATCAGAAATAAAATATCATTTACTTGGTAAATTGCAATCAAAGATTAGAGGGGAAAAAAACCACTTTCCCCAGGCTTAAATATTGCATAAAATAACACTAATTCTATCCTAGAATCTACCTACATTATGTACATCCTTATAGCTTGAATTAATTTATTCAGTATAAGAAAATGGCCTACAGGCCTTTTCTATTATACACAGAAGCAGAAGTTTCTTGTGTATACTGTATTTACTGTAATACTAAGAGTATATATGAAGGTGAATTATTACTGCCACCAAAAATTTAATAGTAGTCATGGTGAAGGCTTGTATCATTCTTCTGTTTTGTATTTTTGCCAAGCCCTTCACCTGTGAATAGGTTGAAAATGAGCTTATTCTGTTTCAGCTCTCACTTTCAAAACCTGTAACTCTCACTTTCCTGACCAAAACTCCTTTCAAGGTAGGGGTGGGAAGGCTTCCAGTTAAAGCCCATCTGGGACAGTCAAGTCAAGTTCAGATTCATGGTCACATTTATGGTCAGCATAATTTGAAAAAAAAAAACCAAGAGAAATATTATTTTTTTTCTAAATTTTAGTACTGGTATAATAGTTCAGACATTCTAATAGCAGTATTCTAACTGCTAGGCCTATATTTTGTATCATCAGCTGCCTACAGGCCACACATGATGGACCATATAAAAATCTCCATAAAGAGGAAAGAATGATGGTCACTTAGGATAACAGTCAGAAAATCTAAAGAAAATATTTTTATCTAATTATAAAATTTTATTAAGGACGTAATTAGACTGTCAAGAAACAGACAGCTAGATATATGAATTTAAATTTTGGTTCCTTTGTTTGTTTTGGGTGCTGTTTTCTATGATTGTGGGAGTTATTTTTTGGTAGATGGATATACATACAGACACAAATACATCTAAACATTACACTGAACATAAAAATGAAGACAAGCAGTTTGGATATTCAACTAGTCACAGTCACAAAATTACACAAAAAAGAAAGATAACAGCAAAGTTTGTAGCATTTTAATTGGCAGTGTGGACTGTAGGCTTTTGATTCTGAAACTGACCTCCAAGAATAAAAAGGAAATGGCACCTCCCTCCCAGCTGCCTGAAAATAGAGCCCCATGAATGTCAAAGACAAGGCAGTGCAGTAAGAAATGTGGGCATCTGCCTTCCCTGCCTCTGGTGGGAAAAGGGAATACCAGTCATGAGGAAACTGGGAACAAAACAAATATAGAGGATTCATCCTGTCAGAATGCATCTTGAGATGAAGAACTGATCAATAATGTTTGCTTAATGTGGTGAATAAGGAGTGACTGAGGAAAACAGGAACAGCTGTTCATGGACACACAAGGATAAATCAGACACTACACTGTACCTTGGAGAGTTATACCCACTTAGAAAAATTGTCATCTTTCTGCCATGATTCTTTGGTCTATTTTAGTCTCACAGGACACTAGAATATTTTTTTTTAAGAGCCTGTGCCAATCTAAAATGTGCTTATGTTGAGCAAGCACAGTTCACTGTAGAAGTCATAGTCAGGAGCTGACATGGTAAGGCCAGGTAAATTGCTCAAGTCAACATCAAAATCTTACTATAAGGTTTCTAAGAAGTCAAGTTCTCAACACTTAGGGCATATGTAGCTCTAGCCAGTTCAAATCTAGCTTATTAATATATTCTTTTAAATAGTTATAACTCTGTAAAAATAAATTTTTTGTCAAACAAAACAATAAAATGTTCCAGTCATTTTGGCTGGAAAGCATTTCAAATAAAAGCAGCTAAGTAAACAATAAAGGAGACAGCCATAAATCCAGCAGTAATAAATTCCAAAAAGCCATTTAAATTCAAGCTTAGTTGAAAGGACATATACCAATATACTATATACCATACAGAGATAACACCAACTGCTGTGTTAAAAAGCAGACCAAAATCAGATTCTGACAGCTAAAACTTCTAGTTATATACATGATCATATTTAAAGAACTGGTTGCAGAAGGGCAACAGGGTGTCCAAAGGTGAGACTGCAAGCATCCTACTGGTTGCATTTGTATTCTTCAAAAGATCACCTTGCAGTTTGAAAGATGAAGTTTAATATCAATATTCCTCCCAACAAAGGCCAGATCTAAATTAAAATTTTTCAGAAGAGTATGGGGGAAAGTCAGAAAATTTGTCATAAAACTTATTTCTCATTTTCATAAGTATCCTCAAGAGGTTGCAACTTCAATGAAAACAAAGCTGCTCCCCAAAAATGAACTAATATGACATTGTCTCCATATGGAACACATGACCCATTTATGCAAAGCATAACATTCACAGCCTGAATCCTGTTATAATTCTAATTTTTATGCCTAATTATTTGCCCAATATCTTGAGCTAAGTAGTCACCTTCATTTTGTTCTTGTTTACATTAAATTCAAAAACTGCAGAGACTTCTCACTTGATAACTCATGTTTCAATATAATGAGCATGCATACAGTCACAGCTGTAAGTTAAGGAAGTTTATCATCTCACCTGTCATATTGCAGTATACGAGAAATGGTCCCAAGGGGCCACTTCCATCTGAATCAATATTGTAAAAGCCTGAAGTGTTCCCTCTGTGCTTATAGGCTTCACATGATTGCTCATAGATGGCTGTAAAAGAACATATTCCATCACAAATGTAATGGCATGATTTTACATTTTATTCAGGGAACTAAAAAAAAAATATGCATGTCCCTTGACATTGGACAAGAAGTTGGGTGTGTGCTATCTCTGCTAAAGAATGAAGAAAAATTCATGCAATCAAAACTATGCCTTTATTAGAAATTGTTAAGCATATTTGGTTTTATTTATCATGGAGATCACATGGTGCATTTTTAAGCATTTAATTCTGTATCTCCAACTCAAAATATCTCAGAGAAAAACACAAAATATGGGGGAGTAAATGGTTGAAAAATGGCTGAAAAATGCTAGAATGCCAAGGGTATTACTTAGAACCTGGTAATCTGATTTTGAGGAAACCCCCATTAACTACCTCAACCAAACCAGATTTCTGTTGCTGCTGTTGTTGCAATATAAACCACAAGGTAAAAATTTTTTGGCTTTCACACTTCTTAGTTTCTTCCCATTTTAAATAGAAAAGCAAGTGACTTTTCAGAGATTTCAGTAAAAGAACTAAATTAGCAAAGACAAAATGACAGCTCCTTGGTTCCCTGTCATGTACACTTTATTTCAGTCTAGGTCTAAAAAAAATCATGTACACTTTATATCAGTCTAGGTCTAAAAAAAATCTGTGATACCTCTTATATATCAAATATCTGAGGAAAAAAAAAAAGATGTATGAGTCTACCTCTATAAGTGGATCTCAGAAAACATGATGACAATGTCACAGCTGGACACATTAATCTAAATTCTCCTTAACTATTATACTTCTTTTGAGCAGTCATAATGGTTTTATCTTTCATTTCAAAATTAAACTGCACTCTATCAGTTACCAAAACTTTAAAAAATTCTGCTAAAACGAATGAGCTGTTAGAATAATAATGAAAAGTAGTTATGAGTGCTAATTTTTTTTTTAATAAGCTATGATTTAAAGAGTGTTATCTTTCTATTTTTTTGCCTGATGGTTACTGACATTATATGGCAACAACTATAAAAAGAGTCAAACAATTTATTTTACTTACTCCATGAAATAGCCATAATAAACAATTTTTGCAATTTTCAAATGCAATTTTATGGATCCTTGCAGTAAATACTTTTAGCTAAATTGACAAAAGTTCAGTTATTCATTATTACTTTTGACAATAAAAAAAAAATTCAGTAACTCATATTATTACATTTCTCATTAAGTCCTAATCATCAGGAAACCCTAGCCTCCCTCTGTCCTCATAGAAATGATTCAATTTGTGACTTTTCAAATTACAATGAATCAAATAACTTTCATCTTCACTCTGGGCTCATCAGACTTTAATGGGGTACAACAAGGTATTCAAAAGCTACTATTGGCGTATTTTCTATTTTAGATAGTTTTTCTTAATACTGTTATTAAGAAACTTAATGGTGTTGACTTTGTATAAGCAAGATTTAAATAGACAGTCTTCTAAAATCACTGATTTTTCAAAAATCCATTTGGGTAGACATACATTCTTTTTGTACAAGCTGCCTAAACAGATTGTATAGATTTTATATAGACAATATATAAGTACAGAATTATTTATCTGATGACTAGGACAATCTTTGTATTTAAAAAAAAAAAACCAAACCAGTAAACTTCTATGGACTTTTACTTATCATAGACATGTAATGAAAGCCAGCTTACTTATTTTTTCTTCTTCCCAGAACATGCTGATAGCAGTACCAAAGTAAACCATCTCCTGTGTACCTAAGTTACATTCAATCAGGCTTTCAAAATGTGTTTATTTTATTTTCTTCTAATCTACTTCCTGATCCAACAAACTATATAAACATGTGTTTTGAAGTTTAGCAGAGGATTACCTTTGGACATGCATGTAGTCCCACTAGCTCAGAAATAATAAATATTAGTTGTTATGATGAATACAGATGAATTTACCATATTTCTAAATGATACATTGATTCAGGAAGTGGAGGTATATGGATGAGAGAGGATATTGCTATCTTATATAAAATACAAAAAATGTAAAAGAAAAACACTTAAACTTTCATCAATTTTTTGTTACATTTTTTGAGTTCCCAAGGTCTTTTGTCAAACAAAATTATGAGTATTTTTATGACTGAAAATATTTTATGAATGATAAGTTCAAATGGTTTTTACTTTGGTTTGCTTTGTCTTTTTGTTTTGTTTTATGGTGAAGAAATGCAAGCAGAAGTAAAAGCATAGTCAGAAATCAGAAAACACCTTAGACTTACGATAGTGACAAGTAGCTCCCTTGTAACCAGTATTGGCACAGTTACAGTGGAAACTGCTCCAGGACTGTGAGCACTCACCACCATGTTCACAGTAATTAGGCAAACACCTAGAACAAAACACAATGTGCATTTTCATTCTTTTGTCTCCTCACTTACTATTGTACTTAGCAAGAAAAGCAAAATCCTGGAAAAGAAGTATAATGTGAAGGAAGTCATCAAGGTTGTGGGTAAGGATGCCAATGTAAGGAAAAGAAAATTAGGACAATTTCTTCCCTGGCATTCCTTTTGCTTATAAAAACATCTTAATTATGTAACAAGCTTGTGAGAACAGAAATAAGGTTGAAGATACAGAATTGTTATTAACGTTCAACTGGACACAATTAAATACAGACTAATAAACCAATTAAAGATTTGTGTGGCATGTTCTACAATGACTGGGATTTCTTCAACAACATGTATCAAAACAAAGCAACATTACAGCAGATTTCTTTCTGTTCATGTAAAAATAATAATAAAAAAAATCATCTAACAAATAAATCTAACCACAGCACCGGACATCTATTTCTTATTCCAAAATCCTATTTACTTTCTATCCTAGAAAAAGTTCAGTATGTCGGTTCCAACATAACTATCTACTTGTAAAGCCGGTTTCCATTCTGCTAATATGACTAAGATCCTGAAGAGTTTTGATTACTTTCTTCTAAGTATACAATGTTGACTGAAAAAATAATTTGCCTGTAACTTCTTAGTGTTTAAGACTGCAGCACTATACTAAAGTATAAAATAATTGTGACATGAACAAAAAGAATTTTTTTTAAAAAAATGCAGATGAAAATATATTGAACTAAATTGGCACACTTCAAGAAATTATTAACTAGCTTTTAGCCAATTATTAACTAGTTTTTCAGCTTAGAATTAGTTAATGTTCTAACTGCACTAAGTTTATGTGTATGATACAATCCAGAAAGTGTAAAATGACTTTACTGTTGACATTAGCCACAGGAAAAAAGGCCTAACAAAAACAACATGCCTACTAACAGTTACAGGATCTTAAAATACCTTTTAATTCATCCAGTAAACGTTAGGAGAATATTAAATTAGGATTGCAGAAAGTCCAGCATTTCACACATCTGCCCTATGAATAATTCAGGGTCTTTACATATTCACTGCTCATGGCACTCAAATAACTTTATCTTTCTTTCATGTTTATAAACAAGGATAAGTGGTTTTCACAGAAGAGAATTAAAAAAAAACAAGTATCAGGTGAAGTATAGGTAAAATAAGTAAACTGATAGATGTCACCTGTTTTCAAGGAAATCTGTGACATTTTTTTGGCAGTGAAACAGCTAATCTTGTATCTATTCTCTCACTCAAAAGATGTATTCCTAAGACTAGTCAACAGATGATATATGTCTCAATGAATTCTGTTTTGGAACCTGAAGATAAAATTTAGGCACCAGGCTTACAATTATTTTGATTTTAAATACTTTGTTTGACAGAACTACATAAATATGCATACTAATGTTTCTTAGGTAAATGCCCTAATTCTCTTTCTAATCATCAGTTATTATAAATACAAATCTCTAGTAAAACTGCCATTCAAGACCTTCAGTGCATTCACTGACAGCTGGTCTGCTTTTATTTTAGTCACATTTTGTGTCTTATGCCTTTTTGATAAAGACATTATCCAAAATTGTGTTTTACATGGTCTTTACTTGTATTGACTCCATGTTCCTACTAATTAATCTTCCTAAAATTGTTCACAAGATGAAAAGCTTAGAAGAAATTGATGATGCTTGAGCCAACCTTAATGAAAGCGAAAACAAGTTGAATTTAATTTAAATCTTTTAACATTAAATTTAAATCTGTTAACATTAAGTTCTTTCCTCTGCTTCAGAATGTATAATGGAAAGTAGCCACTAGCTGCATCAAAGATAATGTAAATTACATTATATGCTGTGACCCTACTCCAAAGCAAGATTTAGAACACAGCTCTCTTTGAACAAGCTTATTTTCTAAAGAAGAATATTTCTCATATTTGAAACAGTATTTTTAATACTTCATCTATAGAAATGAATTTTTGGGTTCATCACCATGTCTGCTAAAACCAGAAAAGCAACAGCTGATTAAACATTTACCACTTATTTCTTGGTAATATGCTTTTAAGTGTATGGCTTCCAAAAATTATATAATATTTTAAACCAAGGCAGCAGCCTATTAATAACTATAAACTAATTTTGAAAGGAGAATACTGATCCAGAATATGAATATAGTTGTGATAAAGAAAGGGAAAAATAAGAACTTTTTATGCCAATTTTCAACTAGACACCCTTTTTTGTACACTATTTCTTTATCTTGGTTCTAAATTATGGCTACAATATCCTTTTAAAAAAAGCAAATAACTGCTGCATTTTCATGCCTATTATTTCTTCATTCTTCAGCTTATTAAAACAAAAACATGAAAAAAAATATTTCAGAACTGTGATCATAATTTTTATTTTTGGTTTTTTCTTTTTAAACATATAAACCCATTCAATCAGTTTTTATGCATGCTGCTGGCAGGACAAAAAGCCAAGAGCTCCTGGTAGGAAATTGTATGTTTCTGTGTAGGGCTCAATATAATTAGGACAGACACATCTGGTACTCTCTCCTCAGAGAGTTAGCATAAATATGCTAACATTGTAAGGCATTTAAATGACACAGTGTCCTTTAAAGTGATTCTGTGAATGGTTTATAGCTAATTAGGAGTTATTAAACCAATATATATTGATAAAGGAGCTGAGAGAAATGATATTAAGGAGAAATATATGAAGAGATTGTTTGCATGCATAAGAGATATATGAGCAATAGAACAATATAAAGATATCATGTAATGAAATGCCTAATGGAGGGATCATGGAAAGACTGATGACTGAAAACAGTCATAACAATTTAAGACTAGGATAAGGAATTACAAATTTTATCAGACTGAGAAAACTGAAAATAGGAAAATGGTAAGGCATTTGTTTGTATAAAATAAATTAAAAGTTAATAATTTATATTCAGAAAAATTAATTATTAACTAAACATCTCTCCATGAAGACTGTAAATCCCATAAAGAATTTTATTCATATGCTAAATGTGTATATGTGAGGTAAAGAATGGATTAAATAGAATTGTTTTCAGTTTATTTACTGTTGCATATAAATCCAGTTTGTTATGCAGAGAGTAAATTTTATTTGTTTTCATGCACTACAAGGACTACATTTAGGTGTCAATCACTTCTATTACATAAGCTGTCAATAACTCCAGAATCTGGGCCATGCTCCATGATTTGGAACAGAAAATGTAAAGACTTGCATAAAGATTCCAAGATACAGAAGGGATTTGTTTCTGCTCACCTGTAGGGAGATATTTACTATCAGGAACACAAAATGCTCATTAGCTTGGGTTATTCAAAGGCATTTATAAATAATGGTAGAAAGAAAGCATTTTTTTCTCAAACAATATGGTACACAAGATCATACAAGCTCCCTTTCAAATATTGTTTAAAACATGTAAACAGTTTTAATTTTGCCAAATATATGTGCTTTATCACCTGGGATTTATGGTGAGATGTAGAATTAATTTGATAAAGAGAGACCTGAAGTTTATTCCAAACTATGAGCTGCAGATATTGAATTAAATGAGACTGTGTAAGGAAACGGGAAAGAAATAGTCCCTGAAGCAAGAACAAGACCAGACAGGATTTTTAAAAGCAGTCTATTTTGGAAAAAAATACAAGGAGGGTAATGAAATATAAAAATGAGTGGATTAAACTTCTATTTTGATAAATTAGAAAGACATATGCTTAGCATGATAGGAACTGAAAACTAAATCTTAGTTTAGATTGAGAGCCAATGCAAGAAAGGTATAATGGTCAATATAGAAGAAGAGACATTAATTAACACTAGAAAATATTAGAGAAAACAAAACCAACCAACAAAAAATCTCCCATAAAAAGGTTCTTTTCCTTTTGTATTGCTGATCTTGAGAAAACACACATAATTTTGATGAAATATAAAAGTAATATAAGCTCAAGTAAATGAAGTGCAAGAAAGTAGTAAGAGTTAAGTGTTCTGACACCTGTATAATAATGCTGGATTTATATATACTGAGATTTACATAGTGGCTTTAAATATAATTTATTTTTTATTTATACACGTACCATCTTTTTAAAACCTACATATACAAACTTACATCTTATGGCCAATCAAAACAGAAAATAGCTGGAATCGCTACATAAAAAAATGTACCATCTTCCATAGGTAAGAAATGTCTGTGTTCATGGATGAGGAAATGGCTTCTAAACTGCAACCCTGAGATGAGCATTTTAGGAGGTCCAAAGTTATTGTGAACAATGGAAAATTCATGGTAAATCAGACAGAAATTGGTATCAATTATATTGTGAGCCAATTGGGTGATATTTTTCACTCATAATCTTGCTTAGATATCCTTTAATTTGCTTGACTAAAGAATATGCAGATTCTCACATTAGATTCTTTTGACCTAATTCTCTTTGTGATTTTTGTCTTCATACAAGCAAGAAAACAAGCAGTGTAATAGAAGTAAGTTCAATTCCAGAGGACAAAAACCACCAGTGATGCAGTGCTGTAGAAGCTGGGAGGAAGTGTCATCAGGTCCTTCAAAGAGGAGAGGAAGGAGAGTTATGACTGAAAAGTGAGAAAATAAGTCAAATGCAGTAGTATGAAAGAAAGGCAAAAAGAAACACCAATGAATGTGGCATCCCAAGTATAAGTCCCCAGTAAGCCATACAGTAAAGTTTTGACTGAGGCCAAACTGTGTTTTGGCACATGTCTATCACACTTAGTGTCTATTGCAAAGTCAGGATTAGCTCAAAAAGGGATAAATTAGCAAAATTATTATATATATATATATATACACATATACATATGAACTGCATATGTTTTTAATGTACGATAGGTGTAGAAACATTAGTGAGAATACACACTACAAACACAATTGAAAGGATCACATTGTAGACTGAACTTTTATTCTCATCTTGGACTTTTCTCTCCTAAAACTTTTATGAAGAATTAGGTAAATAGCTAGTACTTTTTCCATCTTGCATCTACAAGGAGTAGTGACTGTTTCCAAAATAAGAACATGGATAGCTGTACACTGTGTTGTCTCTAGGAATGGATTGCAGGTCACAGAAGTAAGGCTGTGTGACTGATCCTGAAACTGGCTATTTTCTTAAAGCAGATCTCTGTCTACAGTGTTTTCACAAAAAGACATAACTCTTGAAAAGTTCTGTAATTCAAAAGACAGACTTTTTGAAATCAAAAGACTAGATGAGGACTAGAAATATAGAAAGTGAGGGAGAATTATTCAAAAGTACATAGTTCCCCTCTGCCTGCTGTGTCCTTTCAGTACAGCCTTTCACATGGGTCCAAGTAAAACACTGTGGGATTAAAGACAGCATAAGTGTCTGTGACTGCATTCTCTGGAGTCTACAGAATAAAACTTCTGCCACTGACTGTTTGTGTGTTTGCTCCCTCTCTTCTCAGCAGCTTGTGTTGTTCTGCAACCCCCTCTGCTTTCACTACACTGAAGCCAAGCAATGTCTTTCCTTCAAGCATTTCTATTTCTGGGAATGTATATATAGTCGTTCCTCTTTGGGGAGGGACTTTCCTTTTGGGGAGGGACACTTCAACTAGCTATTCTTTTAGATAGATACTAATTGCAAGTTGTGAGATTAGTTCAGACCATGGTCTAAAAGACAATTGCTCACTACTGTGATGGATATTATCTACTGTGTTTCTGGAGAGGTAGAATATAGGAAACAGAAATAACTTGTGAAAAACACAGTATTTTAAAGGGTGGATGGGACTACTGGTTGCAGAACGGGATTTGTGTCTGCAGCTTACTAGAAATTAAAGCAAGATGTTTAAATTTGTCAGACACCTAAAATAATTTTAGTCAAAGTTAATTTTATTTGCAGTGAAAGGAAGTCTATTTGCTATATGCTACATATTTTGCATTTATTCTGGATTTCTGAATTCTTACAAAAGAAACAGCATGCCATTTTGTAAGTGTTCTGTTCTTTGTCATCAAATCACTATTAAAAACAAAACATACGCATAAATAAATTAATGAGTAAACATTATGTTCTTACCTGTCTGTAATGCCACATAAATCTATCTGAAGATCACTGAAATTGCCAAAACCGTTTTGCTGAATAGAGATCATATCCACTGCTTTGTTACCAATGGAAATATGTCGCATGCATCCTTGAAAACCACCAAATGAGGTATTACAATCAGAAATGTTTCCAGTTCTAGGACAGCCTGAAAAAAGAATTAAAAACTGGAGCTGAAAATAAATATTTTATTGGAAAATGTTCTATACTTCAAAAGTAAATTGAACTTTTATAACCTCTACACATTTTAAACTTTGTGATTGGAGGACTTTAGCCGGAGGCTCTTCTGATAAGCCATGGTTGTATGACTGAAAAGAAATACTTCTCTGCAGTCTTACTGTTTTTAAAGCATATGCAAAACATCACTAAAAACTTTGTTAAAGGATAACCTAAACGAAAACTCCAAAGCAATAAGTGGAATCAAGACATGAATAGGTAGAGATCTTGGTCCTGGAATGGTAGGTTACAATACAAGATCACTTGATTTGAACAAGTTTTAAGTCACAATTGAAGTAAAATAAAAACAAACAAACGAACAAACAAACAAACAAGAAAAAAAAAACAAAAAACAAAAAAAACCAAAAAAACAAACAAACAAAAACCAAAACAAAACAAAAAAAACCAACAAAAAAAAAAAAAACCAAACAGTTACTAAGTCCAGTGAATTTACTCTTTCAGGTGTTAAGAATATTTTGTAAAGTACTGAAACTTATTCTTGCAGACCATCAGTGACTCACCTAGGAGAGATGCTCCACTGAACCTGCTACTCATGGACAAGGAAGAAATGGTTGAAAATGTAAAGGTCAAGGACAGACTTGGTTACAGCAAACATGAAGGTGAAGCTGTGGAGTTTATGAGCCACAGAGAAGACAGAAAGAAATATACTCCAAAATTATTACCCTTGACTTCAGAAGACCCAATATTTTTCTGTTCAGGATCTGTTTTGAGGATACCATTAAAAATTGCCTTGGAGAGCAAAAGGGCTGGATATATTTCAACAAAAAAAATTCTTCAGAGCAAAAGAGAAGTTAATAGCAATATCAAAATAGTTAATCAAGTGTCACATAAGGCATGCAGACATAAAATGGAGATCCTGAGTGAGTGCAAACACAAAAAGAAAGCACACAAAATGTGGTAGCAGGGACATGCAACGTAGAGGGGAATACAAAGACATAACCTGTGTGTCTAGGAATGCACTTAGGAAAAAAAGAGAAGATAAAACTTGCCAAGGAAGGTGAAGTGCAGCAAAAAAAAATTTCTGTAGGTACAACAGTAAGAAAAGGAAGGCTAAAGAGATTATGGATATTATTCATATATCCCACGGGGCAGGGGACTTAGTGACAAGGGTCTAGAGAAGAATTGTTTCCTTCAAGGTCTTTTTCTTCACTAGTAAAACCTATCCTTAGGATTCCCATATCCTAGCAGAGTATGAAAAAAAGAATGTAGTATCCATGATAAAGGAACACAGTAAAGGAATAAGGTGTACCTGAGCATGCTGTAGGAGCTGGTCAATGCCATTTTAATGATTGCCATTGTCATTGTGAATTCATTAACATTTTAATCCTCAAAGGGTCTTGGCAATATGCTGAACTTCTTGATAATTGGAAAAGTTACACCCATCTTCAAGAAACTAGAGGGCCATTAGTCTTATTGCAGTGCCTGGCAAATTCACAGAGCAAAACCTCTTAAAGCCATTTCTAAACATGCACAGGATAAGAAGTTAAAGGGCTAACTTTAGCTTCAAGGATAAATCATGCCTGACTGAGGTCTTTGTTTTCTTTGCTGAAGTGATGAACAGTATAGATACAGGGAGAGCACTGAGCATTGCATACCATGACTTCAGCAAAGACTTGACAGTTTTCTACGGTGTCCCTATCACCAGATTCACAATACATATGGGTGGGATAAACAGGCAGTTGTTGCTGTAAATTCCAGCTGATGATCACTGAGCAGAAGATTCTTTACAGATCAGTAGTGACATCTATAGTGTCTTGATTAATTACCTGGATGATGAGGCAGCATGCACTTTCAGCAAGCATGCAACTGATACCAAACCAGAGCAGGTACAAAATGTTGGAGAGCAGGGCTGCAACTCAAAGGGACCTGGACAGGATTGCCATGAAATTCATTAAGAACAAGATCAAGATTTTAAATCTGAGATGGAGCAAGTCCATGCAACAATCTGAACTGGAGGATAACGTTCCAGAGAGAGGCCTGAGATCCTAGTGACCATCAAGTGGAATACGATCTGGAGAAGTGCTCTTGCAGCACAGAAGGCCAATGCCATTTTGGGATGCATTACCAAGAGCATAGTCAGCAGGTCTTGGGAAGTGGTTCTTCCTGCTACATGGCACTTGTGAGGCCATATCAAGAGTGCTGTAGTTTTGGGCTGTCCAGTACAGGGGAGGAAGGACATCAGTGTCCTAGAGTGAGGTCAGAGGAGATCTCCAAGATGGCTGGAAGCTGAATGCAGTTATGAGGAGAGGCTGAGAGATCTGGGCCTACTCAGTCTTAAGAAGAGAAGATAAAGCTATCTGATAAGATGGCACAGAGAAGATAGAGCAGGACTACTTCCAGCAGTACAGGGTGATGAGACAAGAGGCAAAGGACAAAACTATAAACCTGCAAATTTGGATCGTAGGGTATAAGACACAAGCAACAAGTGGTTTTACTGTGACAGTGGTCCATATCAGAACAGTTTGCCCCAAGAAGTCATAAGATTTCCATCTCTGCTGTTGTACAAGGCTTGAGTACATCCCAGTACATCTTGATCTAATCAACTTGTTTAGAACTGAGGCTTAGACTACATACCATCTGGATGTACACACTTTGTAATAATTTAATACTGTGGTTTATCTATTGTCTTACTGGTCCTGAAATATCCTGTTCACTGATTGCCAAATAAGTAAACATACGGAAATAAATTGCTTTAATCCTGATTTGATTTAAAACATGTATATTGAGCAGTTTTTCCCAGTGGCAGATAAACACTACACTACAATGCTTTATTTTTCTTTCTTCCAAGGGGTATTATTGTTTCTGCAATGATGCACAAGGGTCATCCTTTGATCTTAGTCAAAAAATATCGCATGCTGGTTCACAGCATTTGAAGACCTTCTTGTTTTAGGATGTTAGGAAGAAATGAGTTTTAAGACACTTTTCTGTTCCACAAAGTTAGTGAGTTTTTCTGAAGTCTGTAAAATCAGGAAAGCAAAACGACCGTGGAAACTACTAAATATATTCAAATTAGTGTGCAACAACATAAATAGTATAGATATATTTTTGAGAAATATAGACTAGAAAATTCATTAAAACTGAAATTTTACAAGTTAATAGACTTGCAGCATGTATAAATCTGCTCAGGAACCAAACTGTTCAAAATTGTTATGTTTCTAAAGGCAAACGTTTATGATCTACTTGTCATACTGTTTTAAGAACAACAGATATGTGGACTTATAAAAGTAAAAATAACAGCACCGTAAGTTTTCAGCAGCACACACAGTTAGACAAATGAATTACATGTTTAACCACATGCTTTACAGCATTCTACAGTTGAACGGTAACATAAATTCTGTCATTTCTGGTGAAAAATATGATGCTCTTTTGAGAACAAAATACTTCCAGTAGCGCTTAAATAAATAAATAATAGATAAACAAACAAACAAACAAATAAATAAAGGCAAGAGAAAGCAGGAAAAGTTTACAATTTTTTGTCATAGCTATTTTACAAAATTGTGTCTCAGATATTTTTCTTGGCGTCGCTTTTTCAAAAATTGTCTTATGTTAGAGAAGAGACAAATACCATTAACATTAATTAAATTGTGTTTCCTTACAATTGTAGACTGGATATTAAAGATAAAAAGAAATCTTTTAATAAGATGAGATATTTATATTATGTGCTTATTGCAGTATTAAATGATCTCATTTTCCCTTATGGTTGCAGTGAGATTTTATCACAAGAACTGAGAGACATTAGAGATCCTCAATGATGGCATGACTAGAAATTGTGCTGGCATAATACTAAAATATTTTATTTTCATGTCTATTACACATTTTCCTAGTTAAACATATACATTTTCTGCATAATTTGCATTCATTAAAACAAGTAAACAAATCACCATGTCCCAGGACATCTCCCCTGAAAGGCTGATACTCATATTTTAACAAACAGCGCAAACATGGTAAATATTCATATAAACTTGGAACAAAAGTAAAAATGCATTATCTGCATTTTGACAGTGGTATATAAGGTAAAAATTTAATAAAGAATTGTCTAAACTCAGAAACCCACTTCTAGAATTCCCTAACTTTGTATAAGATGCATGAGCTGCAGATTTCAGATTTCATGATTTGCAGATAAGGCAGAGATCAGAGAATCTGAGGGGTGGATATGCAGTTGGTACTTCCGGTATGGAATTATTTTGCCCTCTCCACACTGCAAAACACAAATAGAAGTGCTCTTCTACAACTTAATTGAATATGTTGCTTTTTGTAAATCCCCATGTCCCTTTTGAACTGTTCATCTGTGCCATCAACCCTGCAACGGTGAAAATCACCTGATAAGAGGTCTGGGAACCTGAACCAACATAGAAGGGTTATTCAAGACTAATATTTTGCATCTTTCTCTGATTTTGCTGACTATTAGCCAAGTCAAGAGGTATTTCCAGGGTAGATGCCAGCTGTGAAAATTCATGTGAAAGCTCATGTAGCAGTTACTGTACTAAGAGTATGTCTGTATACATGAAATTTATTTAAAACCTATTGTTTCAAGAAAATTGATCTGTGGACAATGACTGGGTCCATACTCATTTAGTGTTTTGTAGATAACCTTCTCAGAAATTTGAGAATTATGAATAAATAACTAATAATTTAATAATTGATCCATTAATGTTTAAAAGAGAGGAAGCATTAGGCAAACAATGCACTCAGGTGATGTTTATCATTGCTGCTATGCAGCCCATTCCCAAAAGAATTATATGAATAACAGAACAATCTGTTCCACTCTATCAGTAACAACACATATCATTAATGACATAATATCTTTTTGACAGATGACTGTTGATATTCCTACAGAAATGAAGATATATGTACATATAAGGTTTTAGGCATAAATTATATTAATCAACTGTAGAAAAGACATACCACTGTGGTTAAAAAAAAAAAAAAAAAAAAAAAAGTCTCTTTATCATACAAAGAGGGAATTTGCACAGATAAGCATATACTTAAGGTGAAAACTTGAAGTCATTCCAGTGGGAAGCTCTTCAAAATATTCATTTAGCAAAACAATAAGTGTGCAGCAAGAGAAACTTTTGTGTGTCTGTTTGATTGCCAACCAGACTATATTCAATTATCAGAACACAATACAAGTTATAACAATCTAAAAAGTGACCAAGAATTTAGGGTGGTGATTTATTCTACCCAACATGATAAAATTCAAAGAAAACTGAAAACATCATAACAGTGTCTGAACCAAGCTAGGCAAAGAAGACTTGAAGCAAGCCAAATAATTACTTTCATTTGATTAGATAAGTCAGGAAAAATTAGATGTGTAACTGTTGGATAGTGCATTTATAAACAAACAACAATATTTCACCTCCAAAGTAGAAAACATCTGAATAAATCTGCAGAGGTATGAAGGCGTGAGCAGATGAGGTCACATCATTGTCCACTCTTACACTGATACGATTCCTTTTGATAGAGAGAGATACAGAATGCCACTGGCCGTTATTTAATCCAGCACCTGAAAGAAAAATAAAACATCAAAATTTAGTATGAACTTCCACCTGTTATTATACTATCTAAATGTTTAAGAATTTAAAGTAGAAGGAACCAAGAGAGCAGTCATAGCCCACATAAAATCTCCAAGTGATAGAAAAATGAAAAAGAACTTAATAAGCACAAGCATCTTTTGGGAAGACAGAACCTTGCTTCACATTTGATAAATAAAAAATAAAGCTACTTCAGTGAATAAGTCTTAGTGTTGTAGTACTATTGTTGTAGCCTAATTATCTGTAATATATTCATTTAATATAATGACTGCAAAGAGTATCCTCCCAATGCAAGGATGTTGTAATTAAAACATCATTGTCGTGGTGGATACAGTATTTTACACATAATACATATTTTTATTACACTGTTACAAAGTGGTCATTATATTACAATATGGCAAAATAGCAAAATACTGTAGATGTTAAAAGTTTCAGTAATCATCATTCAATGTCACAAGACAATTTTGCTTTCAGCTGATTCTTTTACTGGACATGTGTGGGAAAATATTCTAAGAGTTTAGCCATGACCACAAATTTACATTACCCCTGGCTGTGTAGGTGTAAGGTGCCACAAAGCAATAAACCTATAGCCCTGATTCTGGAAAGCACTTACATACATTAATAAATTCTACACAGGGCAGCATGTAACCCTGTTATTATCTTTAATAAGAGTTTAAAGCAATCATGTTCTTGAGTATTCTTCAGAACAGAGGTACTTCTTTCAGTGAAGAACAAAGAATACAACGTTTAAATTAGGCAAAGTATTTTCTTGACTGCAGAGTGCCTATGATTTGTATTCTGTGATTTCTCTCTCGAAATTTCATGTATTTATGTAGTCCTCACTAGAATGTGTCGTATATGCTGCAGTAACAGTCCATGAGTTAAGAGATTCATTCAAACAGAAATAAAATAAATAAAAAGAGAAAAATGAGAGGGTTCAAATAGCTAAATTATAGCATAATTAGGATCCATAGATTGTTGATTATCACTATCTAAATGCAGGATTGTAACAAAATGAAGAGATAAACCCTAGAAGGACATTGCAAACTCAGATGAACTTTTACCTAGATAATATCTCCAATATATTTAAGATAATATTAGTCCTATATACTTTTTCTCTAATTTTTTCCTTACTTTAATCAGCATATTCATTAGGGAACATGTAATGAGAAATCCTAAACATTTTGCTTTAGCCCCAGCCTCTCATGGGTACTTCAAGTGATTGAAATTTTCCTCAGTCACAACCCTTTAACACATTATCTCTTCCTTTAGAAATTAAAGAATCACATAATCATATAGCATTTTGGGCTGCAAGTGACCTTTAAAAACCAGTTTGATCAATGCCCCTCTTTGCAGGACCTTTTTTACTGGATCAGGCTGCCAAAACCTCCACACAACATAACCTTTAACACTTCCAGGAGTGGAACATGTAAATATAACTTGTTTCACTTTAAAATTGTTACCTCTTGTTCGGCCACTACAGATCCTTGGAGGAAAAAATAATAAAAATCTCCATCATAGGCCTTAAGTATGGAAAGGCCACAATAAGGTCTCCCTAAAGTTTGGGGTTTTTTTTCAGGCTGAACAACAACAACTCTCTCAGCCTGTCTTCATGGAGATGTGTTCCAGCCCTCTGGAGCCAATTTTCATGGCCCTACTCCAGTCTCCCTCTAGCAGGACCATGTTTTTCTTGTGCTGGGGACCCTACAACTTGAAGGAGTTCTCGAGGTGGGGTCTCATCTACTAGCATCCCCACATTCTTCTTGGCAGGCCTGCTCTTAATCTCTTCTTCCCCCAGCCTGTACTGGGGGGCATTCAAACCCATGTGCAGGAGCTCACATTTGGCTTTGTTGAGATTCATGACCTTCACATGGGCCCATTCTTCAAGCCTACCAAAGGTTGCGTTCCTTCCTTCCCTGGAGCAAATCAACTGCACCACTCAGGTTGGTGTCACCAGCAAACTTGCTGAGGATACACTTATCTCACTACCTGTGTAATTACTGAAAATACTAAACCCAGCAATAAACTCTGTCACTATATTTTAATTTTTACAAGGATAACTGCTTTTAATTCTTAGTTGTGCATCCTGCTTCAGTATCTTCTTGTTGTGGTGGGTAAACCATATTCCAAACCTTGCAATATTTGACTGCGAAGGTAGGTAAGAGACTGCCCTAACATATAAAGAATGGTATCTCAGACCATCAGAAGTTTTGGTTACTGGAAAATTAATAATGTGAATTTTACACTTTTTGGTTTGTTGATTGTAATTCACCTTGCTGACCTACTATATGATTTTGAAATGGGTATTTTATCTCGCCTTCTTAGTGGTTGGCGTGATTAGAGATATTCAACAATGTTCATGTAGCTGAAGTTAAGACTTCCTACAAATCCCTTTTATGAAGTCTGAGAACTAAGGAATGCCATTGTGGGAGCACAAGACACTCTGAAGAAAACTGTTCATTTTAGCCCTTGACTAAATTCACATTTGTTTGTATGGAGCCACTGAGTGGTAAAACATCTAAGTGGAAGAAGCCAGTGGACTACCAACATCTACATTCCATCTGAAACTTATATTGTCTGATGCTCTACTATGAATTAGAAAAATACTTTACCACAAGCAAACAGGAAAAACAAAGCAAACAATATTTTTGGTACATAATAAGGTAGCTGTAAAACAAGATGTCCATTTATTCTCATTAGTTCCATCATTTTGAATCTAAATATTACAACAGGGTCTATGGGATGCCTTGCAGAACAATGATACCTGACCTCAGGAACACATGTATAAAATGCAGTATATATAAATTATTAGGAGATCAGTGAGAAACAAAAAAAAAAGTTTAGAGTAAGTAATTTATAGATTAGTCTGAAGTATAACAAAGAAATTCCATTATTATTGACAACACTTAACTAAAAGCTGCATGGAAATTAAAACCTGCATAGAAATAGAGGGTCACAGAAGAAACTGAGTAATAAGATCTAACATTTTCACATACTGTAATTCAATTTAGTCTCATAATTCAAAACAAATTAACTTTGTGTTTAGTTTCTCTCTTTTTTTTTTTTTTAAATCTGTGTTATTTCTTTGTGAATATTTGATGTACCACTTGCAACAGAGGCTAAAAATGAAAGACATTAAGCAGCCATTCTGCAAAAAAATGATAGCACTTACTACAATTTAATTAGTTATGAAAAGATATGCCATTCTCCTTAGTTTTATATGGTTAAAGAAGTTCTTAAAAAACAGAGGATAATTAATTTAAGACTTGTGCACAAAGAAATATGCTCAGATTTAACTATCAAATATTATGTGTGTGTGAGTGTCTGTGTGTGTGTGTGTGTGTGTGTGTGTGTGTGTGTGAGTGAGAATGCGTGTGAAAGTCAGGTCGTAAGTCCTTGCCTGTAGGGGAGCAAATCTTCTCTCCAACCATCCATAATTTAATTACTCAACCTCCAAATGGAGACTTGAATTGCTCCAGTGATTGCTACAACAAACACTTCAAAAACTCAAAGAAAAGTTTCCCATATGGTTTTGTTAGATAAATTCCTTCTCAGAAGAGAATAAGATGATTTTGCTGTTGCTTTTGCCTTCACAAAGACAAACACAATTTGTCCTGTTAGACTTTATGAATGGAAAGCTTAACCTAGCATGAGAACATTAAATTCTGTTTCAGCATAGCATGTCAAGATTTATTTTGGGATGTTTACACTATTTTACATATTGCGTTGCAGCTTTGAAATTGAATAAATTGCCCCATGTGCAAGTCTACCTACTGCTGTTAAAAGTGCCACCACCATCAGCCAGTCTGTTAAAATTAAGTGCGTGGCAACAGTTTCTTTAACGTACATCACCTAATTGAACAGCAGCTGAAATAGCTCCTAAAAAACCAAATTCATACCACTGACATTCTTACTAAGAAATTGACATTTTCAAATGGTAAGCCTAGGGAAATCTCTTGCCATTAAAGTGGTACTCTTTGTGCATCAGTTATTTTAGAAAATAAAAAAAATACCAGGGCCATTCCTATTATTACCCTCAGGAACAGGATCAAAGTATTTATGTAAATTTCAACATTATCTGTGGTCATTAGAGGCTTATAGTCTTTTCCTGAATTAAAATAATCAACAGTTTAAAATTTTACTTGTAATCATTATACACCTGTAGAAACATAATGAACTTCACAGTTTCTTTCTCCCTTCCCTTCCCTTCCCTTCCCTTCCCTTCCCTTCCTCCTCATTTATTAAGAAGATTTAAAGTAAGGAATCAAAGAAACAGGGGCATGGAACAAAGATTACGGAGATCTCATGTTTAAATCCTGCAGCTGTTTCTCTGTCCTGCTTCATTCTGCTTTGCTCCCTTTGCATTATATTGCCTAATAAGTTTTGAGAACAATTTAGATCAGTTGATTCTTATTTTGTCTTTGTATTGATTATAACTAGTTTGGGGGTTTCTCACTTGTTTTTTGTTACATAACTGGAACTAACTTGGCTTCTTTTACACTGATAATATTCTGCATTGTGAATATGAAATGGAAAATACAGGCTTGTGTATGGGTCAAAATGAATCAAAGATCAAGTCATGTTTTGGATATCAAAAATGTGTTTTATGCATTCAAATTCACCATTGCTTCTACAACATATCCCTTCAGCTAGTGGAACCTGGTCATCTTTGTCCATACAGAAACCACTCCAACCCCAGCATCAATTTCCTCCTATCATATATCCCTTTTATCCACCTAATCTCTATTGTCTTTTTTCCTGTCTTAGGACTCATCATATCATATCACAGCATATAATCCATCTACTAGTAAAGGGCAAAATTCAATTTGTTTGCATAAATAATGAGAAGCTCTGAGGTAGCTGTGATATATGCAATATCAGAGAATAGTACAATACTGATGAAGAGCTGCTAGGTGTAGGTAATACTATTACATGGGGATGTTACTGGATCTCAGCATTTTATAAAAAGCCTTTGAAGGTGGAGATGATGTTTTCCTGTCCTGCTGTCATATTTCCTGAATGACAGAGATTCCTGACTGGGCCAACAGTCTTGCTGTTCCCACATCAGCTGCCAAGAGCGCTCAGAAAAACTGAGACTCTTTGTGAAAGACTTAGTCCCATTCCTGCCAGGCAGAGAGAAAGTTAAAGCTGGCATCTTTAAGCTTACAATCCCAACTGAATACTCTCTACCATGACTGTGTATTCACTATAGTAGCTTCATCCTTTTGTCTTGACATATTTGTTTGCCAAGGGTGAAATTACTCATCAGAAGTCTAGACTAGGTACTAGCTTTCCAAAAATCTGTTTTACCCTGAGAGATGCCTAGCAGTGCACTATCAAAAGTAGATGATCTAGTCTCAATTCAGTGTTTAACTACAAATGTGACCCTTTAGTTCTCAGGTATTCATTTTCCTCAAGTTCCTTTTTTTTTTAATCATAGACTCAAACCTGTCCTGGTTTTCTGAAACACAATCTGGTATTGGGCATCCACTGTCCCAGATTAATGGATATCTCTGCAATTGAGAACTCTAAAAAATAATAGACATTATATTTATAGTGATGTATAACTTCATAAAAATTTTGTTACTAATTAGTTTTTGAAAGCACAGACAAATGGTGAAATAATGACTTAGATTGGCAGAGTAAGAGACTAAATTTTTTACACTTTACAACTGAAAAGGCTGCTTAGATTTCCTGGGTTATACACATGAGCTGTACATACCATATGCATGTTAAGCTAAGGACTCAATTTTTCAGTCTATATTACTGCAAGTAATTTCTTCTCACTCATGGAGAAAAAAAAAAGAATAGGTATATTTGTGAGAAAAGAAAGCATTTAGAAATAATTTGGTATAAAATTCCAAGTAAAGCACAGTTGCACAGAAAATAATCATAAAAATAAGTCAAGAAAGCAAGTAAGTTACTTTTCCTTTAATCTTTAATTTAATTTTTTCTTCATTTCTGTTACCTGCAGCAATGTCACTCAGTACTCTTCCTGTTTTATGAAGATTGGTTTTGACTCTCCCATCACTCAGATATAAGAGGAAACCACCTGAAGACTGGTGCAGTTTACTGGATAATAGAAGTCCTTCCTTGTTCCAAGTGCGAAACTGAAAACTGACAAATACTTCATCTTGCCCTGATGTGCCTTGCAGTGCCAGGAAACTGCTGGAGCTCAGAAATGTCACAGGAACCACCTGTGGCTCTAAACATGAGAAGGACATATTGCCCTAGAAATAAATAAAACAAATATGGCATTAGGAAGAATCATGAGAATTTCTCCATGGAAACTGCAGTTTAAAAACATGGTACATAGTACTTGGTTGTATTAGTCTAAAAATCAAACATGAACATCATCAGTTTGAGAAATGTTAACATAGTTGTCTGACCAGAGTAGACTCATCTGCTGGCACAGAGCGGCAAGGACCTTTGAGGGAATGGCGTAAGATCCTAAATTATGAGGCTGATTTAATGCTACTTCAGGAGTTAGAAAGATCTGCTTTGTTCCTAGTTTGGCTCAGTCTCAGTAAGCACTAGGGACTTCACAAATTCTTCAATGACAAATAAATGCCATGCTGCTGACTGCATGTAAACACACACATGGATCTAAATGCTTGGATGCAGAGAGGAATGTTGAACTGTCACTAATTGTTTCAGACAGTGTTAAATTTAAGAAATAAAAAAAATCCAAATTGATGCAATTGAAGATGTGTACTCCAGTATTTGTTTTTACAAACAGAAAAATTCCACATATAAACTCTTGATACTTACACATGCACAACACATACTTCTTAAGTTAACAGGGAATATGTTTTCAAGCAGGCCCATATGGACTAGATGATGAGTTGGATTTATGCATCTAGTGTTTGTTTTGTGCTTACTTTCTTTTGAAATAACTGTTTCTTAGATAAACTAGTGGCTGAATTCATTGAGAAACTCTGAAAGTAACCTGCACCTGTACTTGTACTGAGTGATGCAGATAAGAAATCTGGAATGGGAATAATGAATTTTTTGCATCTGGTGTCAGAGTTAGTTAACACTTTATGGAGCTTGATAGTAGTAAACTATGCACTCTGATCTAATGATTTGCTGACACCATTTGAACTATAACTAATTTGTTCTGGAGAAAGGATAACTAAAGATTAATGTTTTTGGAATTTTAAAGTGTACCTAGTTTCTGTTCAACACTAAGAGGTTTTGAACTTTTCAGCATACATAAAACTTTGACCACACATTAAGTAGCTTTAAAATCAATATAAGAAAAATATTCACTTGTCCTTGGTGTGGCAAAGTATTAAAGTTTATGGGTTTTCATTTTCTTCATGGAAAATAGATAAATAAGTAAAAGCTTTGTCATATGAACTCAGCTGTACAGAAATGAATAGTCAGCTAAACTGACACGTAGTGAAAAAGTACTCATCAGATTATAAAAGCCTTGTTAAATGCTAAAAGCTGGCCATTTGCAGATTCCTTCACTAAAGTGCCTATTTAACAGGGATTCTATGGTAACAGAGATTCTTTCTACATTATTTACATTATGAAATGTCTCCTAAATAGTTTTAAAAGTAGCACAACAATTTAAAACATTTGATATGGAAGTAATGAAATTTTTTGTTACAGATAATTTTATAGACCCCATCCACTAGTCCGCCCAGAGCCTACTATAATTGCCCATTCCCCAATATTCAAGGGCATCATGGACAGAATACTATGCAGAGGTAGAAGCTTAGATAATTTTGGAATATTTCAAGTGAATTTCACATGAAAAGAAATGCCTCTCATCCATTTCTGCTATGACAGAGACCAAATTTGATTCTTTGTTTTCTGAACAGAATTCCAAGTTAAAATATTTGGATCGTGAAAGCATTTAATATATTTTTAATTATTCTGAGCTGATTTCTACAACACCTCTGCATTTCCTGCTACAAAATAAGTACGTTACAGAGATGACCCTTGTTGTACTAGGGAAAAAAACCCCAGAAACAACAGCAAAGGACTTAGTAAAATTTCTAGAAAGACTTTGGTAAAACAGAAGACATTTGTTTTGTTATTGGAAGTGTTTCTCTAAAAGGTAGGAATTTGGATTATATGACTCCAGGCCATGTCACAATAAATGCACTGAACCCACCAACTTAAACTAAAGGTCTTCAGAAAAAAGATCAGTATAAATTGAAAAACAGAACTGATCTATCAAAATTATAATGCTCTGGACAAAATGGAACAGTATCATCAGCAATAAAGAACTGTTAAAACATATTACTGGTGTTCTTATTAGTCAGGCACATATTCTTATTACTGTGCGACAAAGCCAAAGATTTGATGGCTTCTGATGCATCTTGTTACTCATTGACTTTTGTCACCCAGTTAGCACACAATACTGTGATGTCAGATATAGCTGAATATCAGCTAAAGACCTCAAGAGTAAAATGCATCCCGCCTTTTCTACTAGGATGAGTCTATTCATCGTAAAATGAGAAGTAGCCCAACTTGGTAATCACTTTATTCTTCTTTCATTACCTAGCATAGATTTTACTAGAAATGTGTGCTAACAGGTTGGATTTGAAAGTGGTTGTGATCTTTTTCTCTGTTTTAGTTATTTTCTTAACTATAAATTAACTTAACTTTCTTAACTATAAATCTCTTACCACAATGTAGATCTGAGATTTATGCCTCCTGGCCAGGTCAATAATGTTCACTCCATTATAATAAATATTTTCAAAACACCCATGAAAGTTCCTGCGTGATAATGTCCCTGATTTTCCAGGCACTGGGATCCCTCCAAAGCTGAGCTTAGAAAGAGAAGAGAAATCAATAATACTATTAAGTAATTTTCTAAGGAAAGAATTTGACTGTACTGTAAGAGCAGAGGTCAAAGACTAGCCTATAATGAATTCTTGTGTATTTCACTGTATCACATCTACATATTATAAGAATAGGCTAACAAAAAATTAGGCTATATAAAGTCAAATGTATGCAGCAAATCATTCTGACATTTTGGCTTTTTTTTTTTCTTCTTCTGATGTATCTGTGTCTTGAATCAGTTTTCAGGGTCCATTACAGCTGTGAAGCCAAGGAGAAGAGGGACAAGGCCAAGTACAAGGAGACTATGCAAAACGGGGTAAAAAGAAGACAATTAGCAACAATTTCTTTAGAAACTTGAGCCTAACTTCTCCACTCTGAGCACACCATAACTACTATAATAGAAAACAAGAGTGAATCAAATTACATTATTCTAGGACAGATTTGAAACAAACTAAAGGAGGCACATTTTCCCTTTCAAAATGCTTAGGCTGTGCAGTTCCTTTGTATGGTGCTGTAAAATTACTTAGTTTCAGAAAGAGATTGGAAGATTTAACAAAAACAAAAACCCATTGAGAGCTATTAAATTTAAGAATATCATTCTGTCTAAATACATCCCTGCCCTAAGGCAAAAGCTGCTAGAAAGCAGTAAATTATTTTAGAAAAGCATTGCCACAATGGTGACCTTAGTTCTGCTCTGGTATATGTTTTAACTCTTTTACACCACAGAAATAGGATTACACTATAAGTAAACACTTGAGCTCAAATATTTCAAAGCTATTCTAGAAAACATTGTAAAAAAGGTCAGTACAAACTATTAACCTTTTAATTTTTAAATTTGTTTTAAACAGTTTCAACCGCTGATTTTCCCTCTCACTATTTTTTTTTAAATTAGTATGATCCTCCAAACTTGATATTATGATTTACATTCAGAAATTCTGAGCAGATATTTTTGAAATGGAATAATGCAGACACAGAACAGCATGACATCTCACTCTAAAATGCTTAAAAATTAGAATGAGTACAAAGAAGTCTGCAGGTTCCTGACATTCTGCTCTATCACTCATTGTCTTATACAACAAACAGTATAGGGCAAACATAAAGCAGTCAGTCATCACATTACAACTGTGAAATAGTGGTATTTTTAACCACAGGCAGGAAAATTTCATAGCACATTACATCTACTACTTTTCATGAATCTACTATTTGTGCAAGAAAGATTTTTTTCACAGTATAATTTTCAGATCTAACAGGGATTTAAGTCTTGATATAAATATTTCTACAATGGTTTTTGTGCTGACCTTGCAATTTTCATCAAGTTTTATGTTCATAACATTAATATTCATTAAATAATAGCATGGAGTTGAGTCTCATTCATTATGTTTACAATATTGTTTATCACATTTGCAGCTCTATTAAAACAAAGGTATTAAAATAATGAATTCTGAGATGAAAAAGATGGTCTTTTGAAAATACTGAGTTGAGTCTAGTGGAAGGTTTGTACTCCAAGAACACCTCTTTTTCTTTGATTCATTCCCTTAACAGACAGAAAATCCCCAAGGTCTTAAGGACTACAAACTTCTGTATGTTCTGTTTCCTTTGCCTGTTTCAGTGCATTTGCATAACAAAAGTAATAAGTGTAATAAAGGAAAGGTAATTTTCACACCTCATAATCAAGGTCCAAATAACTGAATTCTCCTTTTGCATGAAAATGATGAGTGTGTTTATCCACTGTAAAGTTTACTTGATTGTTAAAATGCTCAATGAGAACAGAATGCCAGTGTTGATCATCCAAAAGGCTGCCCAGCGTAATATTAATTTGGGCATTAGAAGGATGAGTTTTAGTATCACCTTGAAAGAAGAAAAATAGAAACTATTAATTTCATTCAAAAAATATAATTATTCAAAAATATACTGCTAGTTTATCATATTTTATACATTAAAATCCACTTAACAGTTTAAAAGAAGTTTTAGTCAAGTAATGCCTAGTAACTATATTAGACTTTACGAGACTATAGCTGTTACCTAAATTAATGAGTAGGGACAGCTTCCCTTTAGTTAATTCCAGGGTGATGTGGTCTCCATTTTGTCCTTCTCTGTGGAGGAGAATTCCATCACTTTGCATTGTCTTAAACTTCAGAGAAATCACATCTTTCAGTGCATTAATGAGTTTTTTATTTAATGTGTAAATTAGACAACTTTTCCCATCAAAGCCAACCACCTCAGACCCTAGAAGTAAAGAAATGAAAGATAATGTACAATGCTATGTCTAAAAGAAACAGTTGCATGTTACTTCAATATGGTATGAAGTTCCATCACTAACATCTCTAGATTACTTGTCTACAGTAAATCGTACTTTATTTTTTCCCCGTATATTAGGACTGTTGTGTTTTAATGATGGTGGTATAGCTAGATAATAAAACCATGTGAGAAGACATTTAGCCTCTATTCAAATCTAACAATGTTCTCATATGCTGGTCTTCCTTTCCTTGGATCTATAAAATACTTTGAACATTTCTAGTTTTACTTGTATTCTTAGGCTGAAAATCACTATTAATTTATGTGCAATTCATTCCAATGAACAAAATAAAGACAAAAAAAAAAAAAAAAAAAAAAAAAAAAAAAAAAAAAAACCAGGGCTGCTGTTGCCCTAAAAAAAAAAAAAAAAAGAAAGAAAAAAAAAAAAAGCCAAGGCTGCTGTTGACCTTCAGGAAGGGAAGGAAATAGGGCTAACTGATTTTATCCCAATAGTATAAAAGAATATCCATCAAAATCAGTACAGATTGAACAAGACACACACCAAGGAACTGGTAACACTATAAAAAGCTCATAGAGTATTCACAGTTCATATGTAATGAAGAAAAAAGTAATTACCCTTGAAAAATACATTTTTGAAGTGAATGAAGATGTAAAGGATACTCAATAAAATATGAAGTTGTTTTTCAACTGGTTGACTTCTTGCAAGGCAAGGGAAACCCATTATCTATTTACTAACTTTATATAATTTCACTAAAAATCTTTCTCCATATTTTCAGCATGGAAATGGAATGAATTCAAATCAATTTTAGGTTAGTAATTTATATTCCATTTTCACAAAGCTCTTGTCTATGAATGCAGTTAAGTTTTTAAATATAGTTTCTTGATTTTCTTTATATCTTGATAATGGAGAATTTATCAAATGTACAATGAATAAATATGATGGTCTACCTAAACATGGACCCTAGATTAACCATTTCCTTCATTTTGTCACTGAATGAATATGGACAGCAAAAGTGTTAATTAATGTTGAATTAAAATAATGAATGTGATGTAGAATAGCTTCAATAAAGACTTCAATAAGATGACTTGTACATTTATATACATCTACCAAACTAGCTAACTAGAGACATTCTTATTAGGCAATGATAACTCTAAGACTGGGAACATACTGTTCTTATTAGTTATTGGGACAAGAGAATAAACAACATTAACCTGGCTCTCCAAAATCCCTCACTCTATTCTGCAGCACTAGTTCCTAAGAAGCAATATCTGCTTTGTCTAAATTTGGAAAATAAACAAAATTAAATTTTTCCCCTGCCCTCACCCAATGAGTTAATGAAGATTGCAAAAGGATTGCAGATGGCAATCAAAATTCTTGTAATATTTCTCACACAGGTCTTGTCTTCACCATCCATGCATTACCCCTGGAAATATATTTAAAGAGTTGTGAGAAAGACAGCTTGGGTGTCCTGCAGGGTTATAAGGATAAGTAGAATATGGGCATATATCCAGAGTACCGTAAGATTTTCCTCTCTTATTTACCAACTACTTGCAACTTCCTGGACTTCAAAATCCTCTACATGGATTTTCTCTACATAAATAAGAAAAATAAAACAGGTGGACTTGTTTTATGAACATTCATCTTTTGTTTCCACAATTGGCAATTAATTCCTTAAATTAATGTGATATAAATCCTTAGTGCACGATGAAAATATCTTTGGAAATCACAAAATGCCCCTGAGAAACTGGAAATTCTGGAAGCCTCACATACCACAGAACCAAGAAACTAGTGATCCTGAGCAAAAGTTTTAATTGAAATTACTTATATACATATATATATATATATAATCTTTATATCAATTGAAATCAATGCTAATGTTCTATAAAGAAAAAAAACTTAAACCAATGCAAACCAACTGGTCATTATTTCAGCTATGAAGAGGATAAGAAGTCCTTTCTTTAACTGATGTAATTGCAATGTGGACATAAAGCATTTCAGCCAGGTAGAAAATGCTGAAAAAGCCTCAATATAATTAGAAGTGATAGAAAACAAAAAGGTTTGAACAGTATCTGCAGTGCTTTTTGTTAGGTATCATAACATACATAATTGACAATTTTTAATGTGCAGTATATATTTATTTTCCAGTTACTTATATTCTACAACTTTATACGTTTGTAATTTCCAGATTTAAACCTATCTTTCTGCCCGCCACACCAAAAAAAAATCCCACCTTTTTGTTTTTTTTGATTTCTATTTTTAGACTGCTGGTTTTGAGGGGATAAAATACAAGAGTATTGCAATGAAGATGGAGAAATGTAAGCTAAACACATTCCCAATATCCCTTTTTTTTTTAGTGTCACGACATAGCTTAACCTTAACTGTGTTTTACATGGCTTAATTGTCACAATCTGGCATTTCAGGAGCAAGACACAGAAAATGTCAGTAGAGATTCATTGTTTCTTTTGTACACACTAAATAGAAAGAATTATCAGGCAGAGGCTTCAGACAGATTTTGGGCTGAGGCTCAGCACAGAGTATTTGCAGTGTAGTCATGGCACAAGCAGGTATTTTATCGGTTCACCTGAAGACAGGTTGAACATCAGGAGGTAGAAAACAAACTATTTACTTTTCTTTTCTTTCTTTCTCTTTCTTTCTTTCTTTCTTTCTTTCTTTCTTTCTTTCTTTCTACCACTTCCTTCCTTCCACCACTTTCTTTCCACCCCTTCCTTCCGCCACTTCCGCCACTTCCGCCACTTCCTTCCTTTTCCTTTCTCTCTTTCCTTTCTTTCTTTTCTTTTTTTTTCCTTCCTGCCTTCCTTCCTTCCTGCCTGTCTGCCTCCCTCCGTCCTTTCCTTTCTTTAAATGACTGTAGAACATGAGTAAAAAAACTAAGGAACATTGCAGAGACAGCAGAATGAGGAGGGAGAAGAATCCAAAGCAAAAAAAACCCAAAAAAACAAGGAAGGGGAACTCCTTAAATATTTAATGTAAGTCCTTAACTGAGTACCCTTATTTGGCCTTTTTACTCAATAAATGCTGAGGCAAAAATGGAAGGGCTTGTCTGGATGCACAGTTTACAGGCATCTAAAATGTGACAGTCCTTGATTTAAAAAGCTTATTGGAGAAAACAAGCTGCATGTAAAAAAAAAAAATAAAAAGAAAAAAAACCCCATAATAATCTGTTACATTCTACAGGAAAATATAGTGAGTACTACCAAGCCTCACTGGGACTGTAATTAAAGGATAAACATTACTTTTGAAAATACTGGCAAAGTTATCCAGAGCAAGTATTTGACTGGAAGACAGCAAATTTCAGGCCTGTCAAAATTCACCCGGTAAGTACAACTTCATTAATATAGTAATGACTTTTTTAGAACATAGGGACATAGATTTTTCACATCACTTTATGGAGTAGAGAGATCTACATCCTGTATTCTCACAAGTTTAGTTTCAATTGTGTAATTTCTAACAGGTAAGATTGAAGAATGAAATTAGTGCATTTGCACTTGAATACAGAACACAGTTCACATACTTGATGGTAAATGAAAATAGTGTTGTTTACTCTTAAAATCTAATACCCAATGAGAGCTCCCTGAAGGAAAGGATGAGAAAATGGGACATGTAAAACATGTGAATCAAAGCTAAAGTAGATATTATTGGCATTTCTGCTTTTCTTCTTTTTCTGGTCCCGCTTTGAAAAGTACAGTCATTCAAAAAGAGCCAGGCATAATTACTGTAACAATAACTCCATGTCCTCATTGTGCCTGACAAATGGAGAAAAAGACTGGAGAGAAAGAATTAAGCTTTTACGTTTTAAAATAATTTTTAAAACTGCAAATCTATAATCATCTGGTTTGTCTTCAATGGCAACCACTGAATTTACCTAGTAAAGGCACTTGGCAATCAGTAGATGTTCAAAATAAATACAGAGATGATAAGAAGTCTGCAATTCATTTGGAATGATAGCATTTGTATATAGGGCAAAAAAAGGCATTTCTAGAACACCTATTATCAATTCAAGGAAAATCTTAACCAGCTTAAAAAAATTACATATTTTTGATGACATCATGTTCTTCTCATACTGCATTATAGTGAATAATGGATGAAGTAAATATTCATTTTAAATTCATCCTAATCTTAGAACATAACTATAGTTGATTTACTTCTATAAGCTATCTATAGGAAACATTCTGTGCCATGTATGTAACATGCAAAAAAAATTAATCTTCCTCAAAAAAAGTTAATGGCTACACAAAAATATTTTAATTCCATAACTGCTTATTCTAAATGTTTGGGGTTTTTTTCAGTTGCATGGACACTTTTCTTTATTTGTCGTTTAGACTCATAGAGTTTTCTACTAGTGGGCAGCAAGCATGACACAGAAGAGAGCCATAATATGGATCTTGCAAGAAAAAGTTATGATAGGGAATATAAATAATTAAAATCTGGCTTTTAGGCATGGTCAAAAGACAGATGTTCAGTTTGAAAATATTTGAGAGCAAAACTGAGTAAGGATTTAAATGTTATCACATGCACAAAGTGAAGGACTGTGAAGAAGCAAAGTTGATAACTACCAATGAATTTTAAAGTGAAGCTTAAGGAGAAGAAAGACTATTCTGCCATCATGTACCACAGAAATCAGGTCTCAAATAGAAGACTCAGATAAGATTGTAGCTTTGAATGATAAATTCATCTATCCTCCATTTTTAAACTTTGGTTGTTCTGGAATTTAAAAGAGTTGAGGGTAAGTTGAATCACGGTCATGCTTTTCAGTTACTCGGTTTCAAGGCCATTTTCTCAGATTGTTCTAGGAATCATAAGTTGTGTTCCCAGTTCTCAAGGCAGCTGTCACTGAGGAATTTTGTGTGAGCCTTTCAGGCTCTACTCCTGGCATGAGATGAGTGTTTTCTGGGATGAGGAAGTTTACCTGATTTCTGAGGTGACCTAATCGCCGCATCCAGGTTTAAATGTTCAATATCCTTAGTTCACTACCTTTTACCAATTTTAAAAAGTCAGGTTTAAGGCAGAAAGCCCGGACATATGTTTTCCTACATACACTTAAAGTCAGATAAAAATGCGTGGCAATAGAAAACAGGTATATGGAGACCATCCAAAAGAAATCAACCATACAAAATATAACTTAAATAAAGAAGTTGGAAAAAAAAAAAAAAAAAACCAACCCAAAACAAAACAACAAAGAACAACAGATAAAAGCATGCACAAAAAGCAGTTAAAGAGATTGCTTAAAATAAATTCTGTTTCCATAATGGAGAAAAGATGTGAAGAACAAAAAGCAGTAAAAAACTTACATAGAGGAATTTTTTAAAAAAAAATCCATGGATGAAAAACTGCAACAGGAAGATGTCAGGAATATTTACACTGTCCAGCAGATCAATAAAACCACAACACTTACATAATCTGCTTCCAAAGGCTTATGTCAGTTATTAAGGGCACAAAAGCTATTCTAAATATATAAAAATATATAAAATATAAATATATAAAGGACTTGGAAGTGTCCTTGAATTTTTTTATTTGTGGATCTATCTAGTTTTACTCTTACTGGCTCAGGATCAAGACCACATAGATTTAAAACTGTAAACATTTAGCATATTTTGGCCTTCAGATAGATAGTATACCACGTTAAGATGCAATTTTTAGGACTATGACAAAAAAAAAAAAAAAAGAGTTTGCATAACATCAGTTGTTGGATTTTGTCATTCCAATACAGAAAGGACTGGAAAATAAGCATCACATATTGATAGTTGATGTAGAAACAGTGTAGTAGGCACATAAACTTATTAAATCAGTCTTATTTGAGATTCATTTTAGTCTTAGGAATCTACTTTAAAATGCTATTTAGGCAGCAAAAGACATTGATGAAGATTCATTTCATTTAGCTAACTCAGAAATAAACTTACTATATGTGCATCCATACACTTCAATACGCATTCCAATCCTGCCATTTGGATTCCAATCCAAAGGCACAAAACGGAGAAATCTTGCTTTAATAGAATGCTGAAGCTTATAGTACACGACACTGTCTGCATTTGTGTTTCCAGAAAAGGCCTAGAAGAAAATGAAAAAGAAATCAGCCACATCCACATTGAATACAGAAATATATGGAAGTATCACTGATCTTTTCATTTTATATATTTTACTTCCATTTCATCTGGCAAACAGTCAAGCACATGAATAAAATGCAATTGTCAGTGAATTCCATAGGAACATCTGATGATTCAAAATGGATGATTCTTTTGGATAAGGAGTTAACTCATCTGTGTATTTAGGGCTGATGCCCCACGCAGCAAAGTATTTAACAGCTTCTAAAATTTCAGTGAACAAACCCTGCAACCTCAAACATTCCTGTCAAAAAACATGTCGAATATCCTCACACTTCAATGCATAGCTCTAACACTTTAGCATAAGAAAACAGAGTGATATCTACAAATTCCTTCTGCTGAAAGACGAAATGGATTTCATTGCAAACCTGTGCTTCAAATGCATAGCATGCTGTATTTAAAATGGTCTTATACTGATAGATTATGGTAATAAAACACTTGTTTCCAACTAAAGAATCCAAATGATTGTAAAAGGGATGTGTTTCAGTGTCCTGTTAAAAGAGAAGAATCATTAATTTATTTTTTTCACAAGGTGAAAGAAAAAAATGTAAAATTTTTAGCAGTATTTAACTGATAAAACTACCTTCCCTTTTTCTTACATAAAGAAACCAGAAATACATAAAAATGTAAAGAAGAAATTTAAAAAAAAAATGTAGCAATAAACTATACCATTCTAAAAACTCATTATATGGTTATAAATTCTATGTTTTAAAGGTTGCTGGATTGGACCATGGAACAGTAATTGTGTTCTACTGTAAAGACAGGACTGTCTGAAACGTTTTCTGATTTCTCTGGGTTGTGTGGTGTTTTTTTGTCATTACCTGTTTATGGTATGTGAAGCACAAAGAGTTTGTTCAGACATTTTGAATCCAAATATCTGATGGCTCTCTGAAATATTTAGATGAGCAGTATTTAAAAGATTACACCTTTCTGGCTGTATGAACAGTGCTGTTGCTATAGCTATAAGCCACAGATGTTGCAGCTAGAGAAGTACATAGCAACCAACATCTTTAGGTATGCAGCTTCTCTTTCAGTAAGTTTCAGAAACACAGATGAGCTTCACTGCATTCATTATTTATCATTCTATACACAGATCTTTGCACCTTCTCTCTCCTGTACTAGTAACATTTCAATAAATTCTAATCACTGAGCTTTCAATAGGAAAAAAAAAAAATTATTTTTTTAAAAAATTTATTTTTTTAAATAAAAAGACCCCAAACCAACCAATCAAAATGAAAACCAGAACAGTCAGTGAATTGGCTTATTTAAGCTAACTATTAGGCTAGCAATAAGCAATGATAGTTAGTGACTTTGAATGTCCACTTTCAGCTTCATGCTTTGTAATTCCACTAACACAGCAAATGAAGGTGGAAATATAACAAAAATCAGAGAAAACCTACTATTTGGAGGGTGAGACCCTTTCAGACCTCTTGTCTCTTCAAATCCTATTTGTAGTCTGTAACAAATATAACTGCCCATGAAAGTGCCAATTAGTTTGTTGACTGAACCAGAACCAGGCCCCAGAAGTTTAAGTACTGTGAGCAAATGAAGTGTTCAGTTAAGATTTAAATGTTTGCAAAATTGCTTTTGGAGAGCAGCCACCTCATAAAAATTAATTTAAGTTTTGAAAACAGACTGTATATGGCTTGATTTTTTTTTTTTTTACTGTAGGACATATTTAGACTGTGATTTTTTAATTTAAAATTTGGGTTTTGGCTTCAACAATAACCTAAAAATACTTCAGACTACTCCTTTAACACCATTCAGAACTGCTAGTTTAGAAACCACTATTCTTTTTCTGTAATTTTACAAGGCTTTTATCTGAGAAAACCACATTTTACAGTGTATCAATTGTGTTGAGTATGAAATGGGTCTTTATTGCTTGTTTTAAGCAGTCTAAACGTTAAATAAGTATTTTGATTTTCTTTTCAGTCTAAGTCTGCTTCAAAAAAAAGAGAGGACAAAATCAGACTTCTTTTTCTCCAGGTTACAGTACTAAAGGTGTACCTGAAACCTATGAAAGTAGCCTGTAAGCTTTTTAGAGGAGAATTATATCCAACATTTCAGACAGTTCCGTCTTTACAGCAAAACACAATTACTGTTTCATGGTCCAATTCATCAATCTTTAAAACATAAAATTTATAACCATATAATGAGCTTCTTTTATCCTACCCCACTTTAGACTGTTCAGACCACTTCACTCTTATTCCAAATCATGTATAGGGAACGTGCCATTACTTTATGCAGAGTCCTCACAACCTACACAGATATCTAATGGTTAAAAAGATGTCATGTGGCCCTCTGTTAATAGGAATAACACACCTAATAATTGCACCTAATAAACATTGTTTGCGTAAATATTAAAAGGGTTATACATTCAAGTTAATATAACTGTTTGTTGACTCTTGGTGTATTTACAGGTACTATATTATACTGCTTTCTGATAGTTTGAAAACACACCATCTTCCTCAAAGAATGCAGTTTTTGAAACACTGAAATACTATATTGCAGCTTAGCTGTAAACAGTGACAGGGCCACATAGCAGCAAAGATATCTAGGTAGATAACTCTCCACAACATATTTTATTCCATGAATTAAAAGTATTGTGGGCTGTACTGAGCCTGAACTGAGACCCTGAACTGCTCTCAAACTTGGTTTAACTGTCCTACTCGATTTCTAACCCAGTAACTTTATCTCAAGCTACTTTAACCCTGATTTGAGGACAGAATTATTTCGTTCATTATGGTGTCAGAAATCACAGATGTGCTGTGGATTGGTAAAGCTAAGTCCTGTCCATAGAAGGGCATTGGCAAGCTCAGAATGATTGTGAAGGTAAGCTTGCATCAAGACAAGGTAAAAAAGTTGGTTGGTTTCTCTGTCCATCTTCTATGTAGAGGGCACCCACATGTGGGTATCTACCAGGGATAATATAGGCATCCTGTCCAAAACTTTCTCACCAATCAAAAATTCCCCTAGAAATGAAACTGTGTAGGACCTACAATTCAGATAATCTAGAGGACATGACCCTTATTTACAAATATAACTTTACTGTATAATACACTAAATATACACTGTAAAAAATAATACTAAATAATACGCACAAAGCTTTTACATATGTTGTGTACCCATTGCAGTAAATATATTTATTACAAACATTACTTAAAAAATATACATATATAAATAAATATAAGTATACTTAGCTGCAAAGCCCCAGTGATTAACACAAGTACTGGTACAGGACCAAACCTGAATAGCTTTGTTGGAAGAGAAGTTGTGGTACTAGTGTACCTCAGTTTGGGTCTAACTTCATCGTGTGGTTTATAAATTCTAGTACCAACACCAGAAAAAACAGCAGAAAAATTCAGCATGAAGTAACTTGGAACTGTCTGTATAAATTACTGCATTAAAAAAATGCTGCAGGATTAACTCATCTCTCCCATTTTTCCCAATACTTCTAAATTACATCCAAGTTCACATTACAGTAAAATAAAGGAGTACCTATTCCAGATAACTTAATACACAGTACAAGTGCCCATCAATTGACAGGTTTTCTGAACAAGAATCCAAACACTCGGACTCATCCTTCTCTTCCTATTACCATTGTAGTGAGTTATTGAAGTTGCTCCCCAAAATCAACAACTATGAGCCTTTCAGTAAAAGTGAAAAAAATGTGAAAGTCCTTCACTCTGACCAGAGAGCACTGTACCAGATAATTGTCTCCTTTCTTAGATGTCCACACTGCAATTATGGCTAGGACAAAATGATCACAGAGGTTAAATTTACAGATTTTTAAGACTTCATTGGTTATAAATGATACATGCAAAACCTGGCTGATATGTTTCATATGAAATACTAACAGTGGTATTATAGTGAGAAGTCCTGTGCCATAAGTTATTCACTATATGTTTCACTAGATCTTGAATTGTTTGAAGATACAGTTGAAATATAGTAGTGTTACCTTAAATTGATCAAAACACACAGCAGTTACACATGCTCATAAATCTGAGTGTTCATAATGTCTTTTGTAAAGAAAGGACAGTATATATTAATGACAACCTGATTAATATAGACCAGACAGACAGAAAAAAAAAAAAAAAAACAAACTTGGCAGAAAACGTAATAAATTGTTGTTCCAGTCAATGTTCACTGCTTTTACCACCTAAATCCCCACTCCTGTACTTACAGCTTCCAAACACTGTCACTCAGAGACAGGAGAGTGGGGTAAATTGTATCTATACTCTTTCAGTCTATCTCTTTCTCTTATTTCTTTACATTTGTTGAGTGTTTTATTCACTGTCACGGTTCTTCCCCTTTTTTTTTGTCTTTCACTGTGTGAGTGGAATATTAGCATAACTTCATGTAAGTCCCAGAACAGCTCCACAATTAAGAGATGAAGAGAGGATGAGAACACGCTTGCCAGTTAATTTATCAAAGGTGGCAACTGATATTTCTAAATGGACTTTAGATATTACTTCTGCCCTTCTGTTTTGTTAGGGGTTTATTTTTGGAGGGGCTTCCTTTTTATTTTATTTTTTTTTTTGTGTATTTTGTCATTTTTGAGAAGAAAATGGAAACAATTTGCTTTCATATTATTATAGAAGAGGGAGATTTCAATATCTAAAATTAAGCTAATGGAAAAAGGTTGTCTTTTTTTTCTTGTTACAGTAGTAGCAGTTGGATAATAAAAGTGTATGAATCAAGGGCCCTTGAACAGCTACTGTTAGTCAGAAGAGGTTTATCAACAGCTAGCCATGCTCATTTGGAAATGTGCTTAATAAACTCTGTTTTCTGTCTCTTTCTTTATTCCTTTCATGTTCAATATAGCTGAAATTAAAAGGTACTTAATTTTCCAGATGTCATGGTATGGGGATTAATAAATAAAATTAAAAAAAAAAAAAAAAAAAAAAAAAAAAAAAAAATTTTTTTTTTTTTTTACCCCCCCCCCCC